TAGTATCCCCGTAAATWTTWGCACATTTTTAAACGCATATGAAAATTAATAAAAAGTTTATAGTAATCCCCGTAAATTTTAGCACATTTTTAWACGCATATGAAAATTAATAAAAAGTTTATAGTAATCCCCGTAAATTTTAATACATTTTTAAACWCATATGAAAGCTATTAAAAAGTTTATAGTAATMCMTGTAAATTTTAGCACATTTTTAAACGCATATGAAAATTAATAAAAAGTTTATAGTAATCCCCCACATTTTTAAACGCATATGAAAATTAATAAAAAGTAAATTTTAGCACATTTTTAAACGCATATGAAAATTAATAAAAAGTTTATAGTAATTTTGCACATTTTTAAACCATATGTAAATTTTAATACATTTTTAAACGCATATGAAAATTAATAAAAAGATTATAGTAATCCCCGTAAATTTTAATACATTTTTAAACGCATATTATTAAAAAGTTTATAGTAATCCCCGTAAATTTTAGCACATTTTTAAACGCAGTAATGTAAATTTTAGCACATTTTTAAACGCATATGAAAATTAATAAAAAGATTATAGTAATCCCCGTAAATTTTAATACATTTTTAAACGCATATGAAAATTAATAAAAAGATTATAGTAATCCCCGTAAATTTTAATACATTTTTAAACGCATATGAAAATTAATAAAAAGATTATAGTAATCCCCGTAAAGCACATTTTTAAACGCATATGAAAATTAATAAAAAGTTTATAGTAATCCCCGTAAATTTTAAGCACATTTTTAAACATATGAAAATTAATAAAAAGTTTATAGTAATCCCCGTAAATTTTAATACATTTTTAAACGCATATGAAAATTAATAAAAAGTTTATAGTAATCCCCGTAAATTTTACATTTTTAAACATTTTTAAACGCATGAAAATTAATGAAATCCCCGTAAATTAATAAAAAGTTTATAGTAATCCCCGTAAATTTTAATACATTTTTTATGAAAATTTATTACAAAAGTTTATAGTAATCCCTGTAAATTTTAGCACATTTTTAAACGCATATGAAAATTAATAAAAAGTTTATAGTAATCCCCGTAAATTTTAGCAAATTTTTAAACGCATATGAAAATTAATAAAAAGTTTATAGTAATCCCCGTAAATTTTAATACATTTTTAAACGCATATGAAAATTAATAAAAAGTTTATAGTAATCCCCGTAAATTTTGCACATTTTTAAACGCATATGAAAATTAATAAAAAGTTTATAGTAATCCCCGTAAATTTTAATACATTTTTAAACGCATAATGAAAATTAATAAAAAGTTTATAGTAATCCCCGTAAATTTTAATACATTTTTAAACGCATATGAAAATTAATAAAAAGTTTATAGTAATCCCCGTAAATTTTAGCACATTTTTAAACGCATATGAAAATTAATAAAAAGTTTATAGTAATCCCCGTAAATTTTAATACATTTTTAAACGCATATGAAAATAAACGCATATGAAAATTAATAAAAAGTTTATAGTAATCCCCGTAAATTTTAATACATTTTTAAACGCATATGAAAATTAATAAAAAGTTTATAGTAATCCCCGTAAATTTTAGCACATTTTTAAACGCATATGAAAATTAATAAAAAGTTTATAGTAATCCCCGTAAATTTTAGCACATTTTTAAACGCATATGAAAATTAATAAAAAGYTTATAGTAATCCCCGTAAATTTTAGCACATTTTTAAACGCATATGAAAATTAATAAAAAGTTTATAGTAATCCCCGTAAATTTTTACATTTTTAAACGCATATGAAAATTAATAAAAAGTTTATAGTAATCCCYGTAAATTTTAGCACATTTTTAAACGCATATGAAAATTAATAAAAAGTTTATAGTAATCCCCGTAAATTTTAGCACATTTTTAAACGCATATGAAAATTAATAAAAAGTTTATAGTAATCCCCGTAAATTTTAATACATTTTTAAACGCATATGAAAAGTAAATTTTAATACATTTTTAAACGCATATGAAAGCTATTAAAAAGTTTATAGTAATCCCCGTAAATTTTAATACATTTTTTTTAAAAAATAGTAATCCCCGTAAATTTTAATACATTTTTATGAAAATTAATAAAAAGTTTATAGTAATCCCCGTAAATTTTAATACATTTTTAAACGCATATGAAAATTAATATAAAGATTATAGTAATCCCCGTAAATTTTAATACATTTTTAAACGCATATGAAAATTAATAAAAAGMTTATAGTAATCCCCGTAAATTTTAATACATTTTTAAACGCATATGAAAATTAATAAAAGTTTATAGTAATCCCCGTAAATTTTAATACATTTTTAAACGCATATGAAAATTAAAAAGTTTATAGTAATCCCCGTAAATTTTAATACATTTTTAAACGCATATGAAAATTAATAAAAAGTTTATAGTAATCCCCGTAAATTTTAGCACATTTTTAAACGCATATGAGTTTATAGTAATCCCCGTAATTTTTAAAAAAGTTTATAGTAATCCCTGTAAATTTTAGCACATTTTTAAACCCATATGAAAATTAATAAAAAGTTTATAGTAATCCCCGTAAATTTTAGCACATTTTTAAACGCATATGAGAGCTATTAAAAAGTTTATAGTAATCCCCGTAAATTTTAGCACATTTTTAAACGCATATGAAAGCTAWTAAAAAGTTTATAGTAATCCCCGTAAATTTTAATACATTTTTAAACGCATAAGAAAGCTATTAAAAAGTTTATAGTAATCCCCGTAAATTTTAATACATTTTTAAACGCATATGAAGCTATTAAAAAGTTAATAGTAATCCCCGTAAATTTTAGCACATTTTTAAACGCATATGAAAATTAATAAAAAGTTTATAGTAATCCCCGTAAATTTTTGCACATTTTTAAACGCATATGAAAATTAATATAAAGTTTATAGTAATACATGTWAATTTTAAGACATTTTTAAACGCATATGAAAATTAATATAAAGATTATAGTAATCCCCGTAAATTTTAATACATTTTTAAACGCATAAGAAAGCTATTAAAAAGTTTATAGTAATCCCCGTAAATTTTTGCACATTTTTAAACGCATATGAAAATTAATAAAAAGCTTATAGTAATCCCCGTAAATTTTAGCACATTTTTAAACGCATATGAAAATTAATAAAAAGTTTATAGTAATCCCCGTAAATTTTAATACATTTTTAAACGCATAAGAAAGCTATTAAAAAGTTTATAGTAATCCCCGTAAATTTTTGCACATTTTTAAACGCATATGAAAATTAATAAAAAGCTTATAGTAATCCCCGTAAATTTTAGCACATTTTTAAACGCATATGAAAATTAATAAAAAGTTTATAGTAATCCCCGTAAATTTTAATACATTTTTAAACGCATATGAAAATTAATAAAATGCTTATAGTAATCCCCGTAAATTTTAATACATTTTTAAACGCATATGAAAGCTATTAAACAGTTTATAGTAATCCCTGTAAATTTTAGCACATTTTTAAACCCATATGAAAATTAATAAAAAGTTTATAGTAATCCCCGTAAATTTTAGCACATTTTTAAACGCATATAAAAATTAATAAAAAGATTATAGTAATCACCGTAAATTTTAATACATTTTTAAACGCATATGAAAATTAATAAAAAGCTTATAGTAATCCCCGTAAATTTTAATACATTTTTAAACGCAAATGAAAATTAATAAAAAGCTTATAGTAATCCCCGTAAATTTTAATACATTTTTAAACGCATATGAGAGCTATTAAAAAGTTTATAGTAATCCCCGTAAATTTTAGCACATTTTTAAACGCATATGAAAATTAATAAAAAGCTTATAGTAATCCCCGTAAATTTTAGCACATTTTTAAACGCATAAGAAAGCTATTAAAAAGTTTATAGTAATCCCCGTAAAATTTTGCACATTTTTAAACGAATATCAAAATAAATAAAAAGTTTATAGTAATCCCCGTAAATTTTAATACATTTTTAAACGCATAAGAAAGCTATTAAAAAGTTTATAGTAATCCCCGTAAATTTTAATACATTTTTAAACGCATATGAAGCTATTAAAAAGTTAATAGTAATCCCCGTAAATTTTAGCACATTTTTAAACGCATATGAAAATTAATAAAAAGCTTATAGTAATCCCCGAAAATTTTATCAGATTTTTAAACGCATAATTTTTATTAATAAATATAATATTAAATTATTAAAAAATAATCTCATGTTAAGTTTATATAATTTATAAAGTTCAAATTTTTAAAAAAAATATGTCATCTATTAATACAATAAACTACTTTTATTGCATCATAATTGCATTTATTTCAATACTAGTTATCATCTATTAGTAAGTATTTTGCTGTAATATTAATTAATTACTTGATTCAGAAATTAGTTAATAATATTTGAATTCAGTACTTATTTTTCATTTATTAAAATTTACATTTATTATACCAACAAAAAAAACATTTCAGTTATTTGAACAGAAATTTTAATTACTGGAAAATTAGAGGAATTGATGGCCCGAAACCCCTCATATTTTTTGGTTCATTTTATCAATCGTTTTTTAAGCCCAGTCCTAGAGTAGCTATGGATAACCATCAAAAATATGGCAAAATTTACGGGTCAGTTGTTGTGATTAAAAAATTAGTTAAAATATTTTCAACAACCAAACAAAATATATATATTTTAAAACAAATATTTTATATATTGATATTTTTTATAAATATTTTATTTCAGTCTATTTGTTGGCAGCAAACCAGTGCTCTGTATGTCTGATCCGGATGTCATCAAAAATATATTGATTAAAGATTTTCATTGTTTTGTCGATCACTTTGACTTTACATCCGGTGATAACTAATGTAAAAAAATATTATTATTATTATTAATACTAATACTAATATATTTTTCTTAATTTAATATTAGATCCAAACAATAATTAGTCAGCGAAACAGCAATAAAAATGTCAAATATAGATATTATTTACAACTTATGATTGACGCCAAACATCGACCCGAAGACACAACAAAGTCAGACAAAGTTGAACAAAATGACAGTATTTTTGATACCACACAGTCATCTGATCCGTCATCGCATGTCTTGTCGACCAATAAGCCAAAGATGACAATCACTGATACAGATATAGTGTCCACTTCTATATTATTTTTTGCCGCCGGTTACGAAACAACGGCAACAATACTATCATTTCTATTGTATTTGTTGGCATTGAATGAAAATTGTCAGCAAAAACTGTACGAAGAAGTGAATGGTCAGACAGTGAAGAATGAAACCAATAGTTACGATAATCTAACAAAACTGTCATATCTTGAGGCCTGTATTGCGGAAACACTTAGACTTTATACACCAGTTTCGCTATTAGGAAGAACAGCCTCAGAGGACTATACCATAGGTTTGTTTAATTTTTTTATATATATAAAAAATCTACAATTGATTGAAAAATATTGAAGTTTTTATTTTTTCTTTAGAAAGCATAGGTATTACTATACCGAAAGGTATGCAAATTAATTTGGATGTCGTAAGCAATCATCACAATCCCGACTACTATCCCGATCCCGATCGTTGGAATCCCGAACGGTTTATGCCCTACAATCGGGATAAGTTAGTTCCCTATACTTATATGCCGTTTGGTTTGGGTCCCAGAAATTGTGTGGGAATGAGGTTTGCATTGATGGAAATGAAGACAACCATCGTTTATCTGATCACAAAATATAGATTTGTTAAGACATTGAATACTAAGCCATTGACCAGAGATATGATGAAAAAACTTTCACCAATTGTTAATTACGGCGATCTTTATGTTGGAATCGAGTTGAGAGACAAACAACAGTAGATATTGTTAAAAATTTTTTCAATAAATAAAAATTTTTGAAAATTTATTTAATAAAAAAATAAAATAAAAAATAATTTATCAAACTGTCTATTTATATAACAAATTTTAATTGAGAATAATTAATAAATAATACATTTGTAGTTAGACTAAACTTAAATTTAAATAAATAAATCGTATGATTAATAATTTGATTATTGAAATCATTTATTTAATACTATAAATATATATAAATTATACCACATGTAAAACATCCTTAAATTATGAAATGAATATAAAACTTATGATAAAATAACAATATTTTTAAATTAATAAACATTGATAAAACTTGAATATATTGAATAAAATATCATACATTACAGATACACACTATACAGTACAAACCAGTCATAAAGCATATATTGATACTTTTAAAAGCCCAATAATAATGCTGTATCAACAATAATCAACAAATTACTACTATTATACATAATATTATATATATATATATATAGTAATCATAATAATCATAACGAGAGAGAGAGAGAGAGAGAGATAGAGAGAGAGTTTGTGCAGAATATTCATTGAAGAAAATAGTTCGTGTCGTACCTAATGTACTGAATAACTATTAAAACACAAATGTTTAGTATACTAGTATATAAACACACCGTATAAACACATATATGATAATTCATAGTCAAAATAGTTGACTATAAGTTTAAGTGATTAAAAAAAATTTTTTATATCTTTTATGTTAAACTAATATAATTTTTTAAAATAATTATTTTTTTCCATTTGTTGTTTAAAATTAATTATTAATTAATTATTTTTTATATACTGTATAAACTTAAAAATGTTTGTTATAAGTTTTACTACATTAGCTGTCATAACAGCAGCATTGACTGCATTTTATTAGTATGTTTTATATTATTTAATTACTGTATATAAAAAATTATTTATGATAATAATATTAATTAATTTGTTTACCACTAAGTTATTTGACAAAAAATTTTAACTATTGGTCATCCCGTGGCGTAAACGGTCCGAAACCGGTCGTATTGTTTGGCAATATTTGGGAGTTGTTTGTCAAACGATTTCAACTGATAGAAGAGGACCGGTTAGCTAAATATGGATCAATCTATGGGTTAGTTATTATTATTATTATAATTTTTTAACCCTAAAATCAGTGAATTTTTTCGCCAATGATAAGCTTATGGATGCTGAAGCACATCACGTATCTGCGTATGTATGGCCCGGCACCGATAACAAGTCGGGTGCCCTCTCAGGACAACAAATTAGGTAATGTCTGCATATTGATAGTGTGCTTTCAAATTAGATAAATTGTAATTTTAAAATAATTGTCTCATTCAATTGAAAACAGGCAATACGGGAATCACAGTAGAAAAGGGTACAACAATAATCATACCGATTCACGCCCTACATCACAGTCCCGACTACTTTCCGGAACCGAAACAGTACCGACCGGAACGTTTCCTACCGGAAAATCGTGATAAAATCATACCCTACACCTATCTGCCGTTTGGTGCCGGTCCACGTAATTGTGTGGGTATGCGTTTTGCACTTATGGAGGCCAAGGCTGTAGTCGCCCGGATGGTCATAAAGTATGAGTTTATACGAACAGCCAATACTAAAGTTCCCTTACAGTACGTAAGTAAGTCATCGATTCCCCGACCGACCGATTTTACGGTAGGCGTACACTACAGAAGCAAAATAGGATAAACAAAATAATTTATATTTATTAGTTATTTTTCAAAAAATTATTTATGAATTGTATAAGTAGTTGTATAGTAATTAGACTATACTGTAGTGTATACTATACACACTGTATAGTAAAATACTGTAGTAATAGCTATATTAGCAATGATTGTAAGATTGTATCAATTTTTTTAATATTTATATATTTAATATTATTTATTATCAAATTGTTATAATATATCAATGAATATACTAATTAACTAAATGTTTTTTATAATAATACAAATATTATACAAAGTTTTTATACAAAAATAATAATTACATTAAATACTGTGATATTTTATGTAAAATAATAATAAATAAAATTTTTAAATTTAAATTCTGGTATTTTGTTGTTATTAATTTAACTCATAATTGTTGAATTTATTTTTATAAATACTAGTTTGTCCCGAGCAACATGTATAGAACGTGTAAAGAAACAAAAATTTGAAATCAAAAAAATTATTTAAATTTCGCGTTCAATAATATAATTTAAATGTTTTTTTTCTTTACACGTGCAACAATAATAAAATTAAAAAACTAACTGTTTAATTAACAATACTTTTTATTTAACCGTTATTTTAATTTTAATCATTTTTAATTGTTGTAACGCGCAAAAGTGTGACCAAGATATAAATATATAAACATTTCCAAATTATATAGTAGTATAGATAATAAATAAATATTGGTAACTTTTTTTTTATCGAAAATTATATTTGAATCTTATAGTTTAAATAATTAGGTCATAAATTTTAAAAACATATTTTTTAAAAAACACTAATGTTTTCAAATTACATGATATTCAGACAGATCTATATCTTCTCCAAAACGTTGGATTACTTGAATAAAGTTTACTATTAGAGAGCAGTTGTCGTCGTCGGTGATCCTCTTCTTTGTCTTTAATGTATTGCAATTGAAATCTTTGTTTCCAGTTAATCAACTGCTGATGACTGCTACCATTGACAGTATTGACAATATTGACACTGTTGGCGGTTGTATTGATGGTTAAGTCGATACCAAAATTTTTAGCAAATAACGACCTCCACATCTGATTTTCGAGACAAATACGATGCCAGCGACTACTTGTTTGCGACAATTGAATCAATGATGGATATGACAGATATTGGATGGCTTTGAGACACAGTTCTTCTGGTAATTCATTGATAGTTATAGACAACAGATCGACGAGTTTGTCTACAAACTCGTGTTTGAATCGCTTGACCGTCGATTGTCTCGTCTCTTGCATCCAATTAAGTCTAATGTTTGGCTGTTCATTGAGTTCATTGATAATAGCCGTACAATGTATTGAAAAAGACATCAGAGGAATGGCTATCAATTTTATGCAAACATATTGATCACCGAAACGACGACTTTTGTATTGATAATGGCATTCAATTCTGTCGTTGTTTATAATAGTATTACTGATTGTTGGCTGACATTCAAAGCCATTTGCTGTCATCAATGGCAGTAAATCTTCAAACAGGATGTCTACCAATGGATAGTTATTTTTCTCTAAATTATCTGTCATATCCTATCATTGTTTTTTTTAATCCCGTTTTTTAAATCTTATTTAATAAATCGCGAGTTATTTATTATAATTGAATTACTAATTAAATTGTTTCAAACAAATATTAAACACAATTATATAATTGTAACTGAAATTAAAATAAATAAAAAGAGAAAATATTAATAATAATTGTGATCTTTAAAAAAAATGGCACCAATTGTAATGATTAAAAAAGTTGGCGCAAAACAAATGGTCGACAATAAGAGTTTGCCAAAGACTAAGACCGTTTGGGGTCTGACTGTCGAAGAGATCGAGTTCTGTGCCATTGGTTTTATGTTGTTGTCGTTTGTGGTTTTGATCATCGGTTTCCTGTATGTACTGCTAAACATCAGTCGCTATATGAAAGTAATGGGCCGTTTATCGCAGCTATGGATACCCATACCGTTGTTTGTCTGGTCGTTCATACCGTCCGGTGTCGGTATTTACGGCATATGCTCTGAAAACCTGATCCTATTGATGGTATTCATTGGACTCGACATCATCTCATTGTCTCTCTATCTGTGGATTACCATTGCTGTCGACTTTATGAGAATTGGTAATTGAATTAATAAATAATTTTTATTACTAATTAAAACTACTGTATCAAAAAAAACCATTAGGTGCGACAATAATTTTCTTAGTACTGGCCATACAATTACTACTATCGGTACTATTTCTACATAATCTATGGCTTCACAAACAATTGTTTAAGAAAGTATTAGACAAACTACCGAAACAACAGTCGGCCAATGATTTGATTATGGGATCAAGTATTGTGTTGGCAAACATTGAATCGGACATCAATAATAAGGATGAAACAAAATTAACAATAATACCATTGACACCAACCAATCAAAACGATAGTATTGATGATAACCAGAAAATTAGAAAATCCAATGACAAAGACATGAAAGATGGTAATAGTGGTGATAATAAACCATTGATGAAAATCAATGAAACAAACAAATAAATAAATAAATGTCTAATTATAGCAAAGTTTTTTATTATTGTTGTTGTTGTTAATGAATCAAATTATTAAAGTGAGAGAAAAAAAATAACATTTTCTCAATAAATTTATATACTGTATGTTTTTTTCAAAAAACATACATTGAAACAATAACAACATTTTTATGGTTAATGCTTTACCGACGATGACTTTGGTTGGACAACAACAATAGGTGGTACCTGTTGTTGTTGTTGTCCTCCACTAACAGGTGATTGTTGTCGATTTTGTGGTACGAAAACAACTGTCTGGCCAGTACTCTTAGGCGACACCGGTAACTGTCCCCCACCACCACCAGCTGATTTAACTGGTAGTTGTTGTGGTGGGGGTAGAAGCTGTTGCGGTTGTTGTTGTTGTTGTAATGGCACTGTCTGTTGAACACCCGGTTGACTGATACCATATATCTGAATGGGTTGCGGCTGATGATGACGATGACGACGACTACTAGTCGTACGATCGAAAACATCATCCAAACCACGACATAGAAGATACAGACAGACACAGCAACAGACACAACAACAGATTAATACTACGAATATGACTATTAGACTAATAATTATTATTTTATTCACTCTTTCTTCCATTTCTTTGTCTTCAATTACAATCGTTTTTGAACTGTCCTCAGAAAATACATAAACATTAATTGATTGATTGATTGATTGATTGATTAATTGTTTTGTTTGAATTAGTTTTCATAATAAATTAAATAATTTAATTTAAACGAAACAGTAAGCTGTAAGTTAATACCTGACCGATGCAATCATTTCAATGATAATAATAATAATCATTGCGACCATCGAAGCCAATGGACGGCATCGTTGACTGATATAATTGGTGGTCATGTCGTAAGCCGTTATTATTATTATTATTTTGTTTCAAAAATAACAACCCGACTATGATTTGTGTTTTAAAAAAATTAGTATTTTATTTAATTATATTTTTTAATTTTATCTCGTGGTTTAACTGTAAATTATAAAATTCTTAAAACACAAAACACAAAATAAACATAAATTCATAATTATTTCAGCAAAAAAAAATTTAATAAATTAAAACCAAATTAAAACCAATTTAACATTATTTGTATACAATCATTGATAAATCAATAGCAACTAATAATTATTTAGTTTTTTTACATAATTATTCACATAGTATAAAAACATTTATTTTAATAATTTAAAATAAATAAAAATTAAATAAAAATTAATTCAATAAATAAAATACTATCAATGTAATATATTTTTTTATACAATTGACAATAAATTTATTATAATTTAACATTAATAATTAATTTAATAATAACTAATTAATCATTGAATTACAATTTAAATTATATAATGAATGATATGTTAGAATATTTGCAATACTAATAGATAAATAAAAAATTTAGTATAAAAAAATTGTTTCAAAAACTATTATTTTTTTGTTGTTGAAAAAACATTGAAACAATAACAACATTTTTATGGTTAATGTTTAGCCGACGGTGACTTTGGTTGGACAACAACAACAACAGGTGGTACCTGTTGTTGCTGTTGTCCTCCACTAACAGGTGATTGTTGTTGATTTTGTGGTACAAAAACAACTGACTGGCCAGTACTCTTAGGCGACACCGGTAACTGTCCGCCACCACCAGCTGATTGAACTGGTAGTTGTTGTGGTGGGGGTAGAAGCTGTTGCGGTTGTTGTTGTTGTAATGGCACTGTCTGTTGAACACCCGGTTGACTGATACCATATATCTGAATGGGTTGCGGCTGATGATGACGATGACGACGACTACTAGTTGTACGATCGAAAACATCATCCAAACCACTACATAGAAGATACAGACAGACACAGCAACAGACACAACAACAGACACAACAACAGACTAATACTACGAATATGACTATTAGATTAACAATTATATAATTTTTCACTTTTTCTCCCAACTCGTCGTTACCCGTTTTGTCTGTTGTCGTCGTTGTGTGTAAACTGTCCTCAGAAAACAAATAAACATTAATTGATTGATTGATTAATTAATTTTTTGTTTGTTTATTTTAATTGGTTTTCATAATAAAATAATAACAATTTAATTTTAGACGAAACAGTAAGTTAATACCTGACCGACGCAATCATTTCAATGATGATGATAATAATCAATGTCACCATCGAAGCCAATGGACGGCATCGTTGACTGATATAATTGGTGGTCATGTCTTAAGCCGTTATTATTATTATTTTGTTTCAAAAATAACAACCCGACTATGATTTGTGTTTAAGAAAAATTAGTATTTTATTTAATTGTTTTTTTTTTAATTATTGAATCACGTTTTGATTATAATTACTGTTTAAAAAATAATTTATTATTAATTTCTATTTTGTAGTATATATCGCGCGAATCAATCCTATAAATTGCACTAATTTAACAAAATTTAAAAATCAATTTAACAGTTATTAAAGAAAAAAATCAATCAAACAAACGGACACAAAATATTCTTATAATATAACTCTTGAGCCAAAAAAAACACATCATTACTATCATCTGAAGAGTATATTAATTATATATAATTATTAGAGAAATTTTGAGTTAAAAAAATGGCAGAATTTGAACAAATTTTGGAAGACTTTCTTCGGACATCTGATTACCAGAAACAGTTGTCCACTGTTGCCGATACTGTTGCCGACTATGGCAACCAATCGTCATCGACAACCGCAACCGCAAGAGAAACCATAGTTGCAAACAATGTCGACAACAACAACAGCTATGATCTGTTGCCAGAAAAGATCAGACAACGAGTCAATGAACTGCAGAAACTGAACGAACAAAAGAAGTCGACTGAGTTTCGGTTTGTCGAAGATTTTTTTTATTTGATCAAAAAGTACGAACAAATATACGAACCGTTACACGAAATGCGAGCCGAAATTGTGTCCGGAATGTACGAGCCGTCGGACAGCGATCTTCCCGACGACTACTACGACAACAACAACAACAACGTCGACATTAACGACTCAAAGTGGACACAATTGGCGGGAATTCCTTACTTTTGGCTAAAAGTTTTGTACGCATCCGAAGACTTTTCTAAGCGCATTGTCGACGAAGATGTACCGATACTCAAACATTTGGAGGACATTCGTGTGGCAACCGAACCATCGGTGCGTAGGTTTTCCATTGAGTTTTACTTCTCGCCGAACGAATACTTCAACAACGATGTCATCCAAAAAGACTTTTATCTGCAAATCGATCCGGGCCTATCCGGAGTTTACGCACATTAAATAAAATTGATTTTTTTCAACAGATAATAGTTAATTATGACCTAACAAACATATATCCATCAAAATTATTGCGCGGAAACACCTAAAACCTAACTAAAACCTAATCTAAATACCTGAGCTCTCATAACATAATTATATATAATTATAAATAAATTAATATTAAACAAACATAAAGCGCGTGAATATAATTAACATTTATAACAACTTTAATAGAATAATATTGTTGTCAATACTTAATACACGAGAACTAAATTATAATTCTATACTAATTATAAATAAATTAATATTAAAAAAACATAAAGCGCGTGAATATTGTTATCAATCACTGTATAATAAAACAATATTATTATATTATTATCTATACAACTATATAATTTTAAAATGTTTGTATGTATATATAAATTTAAGTGTCAATGTCTTCGCAACTTAATCTAATATTCAATGGTAACCTAACCTAATTTATATAGTACTGGGGTTAAGATATCAGTGCTATTCGCGTTACCTAACCTGGTGTTCGAACCGCAACCTAACCTGATTTTCAATGGTAACATAACCTAATTTATACAGTACTTGGTTACAGAATCAGTGTTTGTCGCGTTACCTAACCTGGTGTTCGAACCGAAACCTAACCTAATTTTTAATGGTAACCTAACCTAATTCATACAGTACTTGGGTTACGGAATCAGTGTTTGTCGCGTTACCTAACCTGGTGTTCGAACCGCAACCTAACCTAATTTTCAATGGTAACCTAACCTAATCTATATAGTACTGTGGTTACGGAATCAGTGTTTGTCACGTTAAATAACATTCATATATTGGATTTATGTTTTAAAATCATTATTATTGTGGTTCAATTAATTTATAAATTCTATAAAATTGGATGGTTATATGTTCCGCATGGATAACTAGTTGTTTTTAAAAGTATTATAAAGAAATGACAATACTATTTTATTATCATTGTTATAAATGTTAATTATATTCACGCGCTTTATGTTTGTTTAATATTATTTTATTTATAATTAGTGTAGAATTATGTTATGAGAGCTCAGGTATTTAGGTTAGGTTTTAGTTAGGTTTTAGGTGTTTCCGCGCAATAATTTTGATGGATATATGTTTGTTAGGTCATAATTAACTATTATCTGTTGAAAAAAATCAATTTTATTTAATGTGCGTAAACTCCGGATTAGCCGAAAACAAAAACAGTATATTAAACAATTAACACAATTACCCAACACGAATGTTGAGACAATCAACGTTAACGGTGACGCCGAAAGTGTCAGTACTGTCGACATGGGCTCAGGTTAGGCTAAATTTTTATATATATATATATATATATATGTAACCTATTTGTTACATAAGTGGAACCGGTATATATATATATATAAGCTGAAATCAATATTAAAAATCAATTATTCAATAACTAATTATTTTTTTTAATTCAATTAAATATTATTATATTTCAATTAATTTAATGAATTTTCCCATTTAATATTGTGTATAAAAAGTTCAAATGTTTGTTATACATAAAAAAAATAATTAGTTTATTATCTTATTATAAAAGTAGCGTTATATCAGTAAATATGAATTATTATTTATAAAATGAAAAACTATTTAATAAATCTTTTTTTTAAAATTAAACTAAATATTGATATATAAATTATTTTTGTTTCCATCGAAAAATAATATATTTAATTAGATATTAGAAAAAACAAGAGTTTTCAATAGTTTGTCGATTAAATTGAATTGCAGTCACTTCTTGTTTATTAAGTTTTTTAATCCCCAATTCAATTGACTGTCCAATGGATAACTGATTGAAGGCATTCATTAAGTCATCAAAATTGTTAATTGATTTTTTATCGATAGTTATAATTTGATCACCAATTTTAAAGTTTTGTCTAACAAATTGAAATTTAATTTAACTAATGATTAAACATTTATACAATATTTTTTTATTAATATATTGATGTAATTATCTGTAAATACCTGACATTCTTAGCGTTTGGCATATATTTATGGACACAATAGGTTTGACTATCAGTACTGTATTTGACAAAAACACCGATAAATGGTTTGCCGGAGGAATACAACTGTTTTCTATCATTAACTAATTGCTGACGAATTTCCTGTCCTTTGCCTTTAGCTCTGTCTATAAAATCTTGGATCAATTGAATGATTAGAAAAAAGAAAGAAAGAAAGAGAGAAAAAATAGTAAAATATTATAATTTTTTTGTACAGTATATACTGTATGTATATATTTAAAGTGGTAGTACCTAACAGATCCTGTCTTCTAGTAATGGTCAGTGCTTTAAAACCAGTACTAAATAAAACACCCACCACTTGGCCATCCGTGTTGACCACTGCTCCACCGGAACAACCTCCTGAAGCCGTAATCGATGCAAACATATATAACTGGTTTGTGGGCCACATCAGGTGCTCATAACCATACCATCCATCTGATATTTCAACGAAATAGTTTATATATTTTATTATACCGGTTATCACTGATTTAGGGAATTTCGGAAATCCAATGGCCATTACTTGATCGCCAAATGTGGCGTCTGTTTTGGCAATCCTAAGCTGAGTTAACTGTCCGGACTTAATCTTTGGTAATGTCAACAGTGCCAGATCCAGATGCGGTTCAACATAAATCACATGCGCCCACCACTCGCTTATTTCTTCCTTATCTCTTAAGATGGGATCTTTATTTGGTATGTCAACCAACAGGCCAGACACTTGGTAAGCACGCGGTAACCCAACCAAAACAACTGGACAGTCCTCGACGTTGTGATAATTGGTGACAATTAGGCCATTAGTTGCATCTACTATCCAACCGGTTGCCTTATATTCATATTTATTGTTAGTCATATCGCGTCGTCTAATTTTGACCACACTTTTAATGCATTTATTGTAAACATTGTCTATCCATTGGTTTTCATTATTATCCAACTGAGCAAATCTTATAGTCATCATCGCTGAAAGTGATCTCCAATTAAGACATGACTTAACCGGTATTTGATATGATGTCTGTCTGGTCTGACGCTGCTTTTGGCGATACCAATGGTTAACAGCAACCGTAGACAACAGCAACAGTGAAGTCCTTTATATTAATAAATAATTTAATCAATCAATCAATTAATGACATTCAATGAGTATTGCAAAACTTTTAAACATCAATAAAAAAACTAACTGTTTATTGAAAATATATGATTTACTAGTATAGGCCATTTGTTGCATATTTTAAAATATTATTCAATTAACTCAATTAACAAAATTCAATAAATATTAGACAACAATTTCAACATTGTTAACATTTTCTACTAATATTAGTCTTTAAAAAATTGCATTCAATTACATGCAAAATAAAATTGAAATCATATATAATTTAATTTGATTTAAGAATAGACTATACATTATATCTGAAATCTAATTTATTTGTCTAATTTCATGCACGACAACAATATATCATTAATTAATGATTATTTTTCTAAAAATCACTAATTTTACTTAATTTTTGTAATTTTAATCATTTTTGTAATTTTATTTATTCTGTTATCTTAATGAAGTTTTATTTAGATTCATAATGTTTTAGTTGTTTTCATAAATTAATTATTAAAGAATCATAAAAATTAATTATATATATATTTACTATACTAAAAGATATGGAAGATTTTATTAAATATATTACATTAGATCTGTAATTAAAATTTTTATTAATAAATTAAAAACTATTTAATAAATCTTTTTTGTTAAAACAAATTAAACTAAATATTGATATATAAATTATTTTTGTTTCCATCAAAAAATAATATATTTAATTACATATTAGAAAAAACAAGAGTTTTCAATAGTTTGTCACTTAAATTGAATTGCAGTCACTTCTTGTGTATTAAGTTTTTTAATCCCCAATTCAATTGACTGTCAAATGGATAACTGATTGATGGCATTCATTAAGTCATCAAAATTGTTAATTGATTTTTTATCGATAGTTATAATTTGATCACCAATTTTAATTTTTTTCTCTAAACAAATTGAAATTTCATTTAAATAATAATTAAATATTTGCTACTAAATTATTAATATTTTTTATTACTAATATATTACTGTATATTATCTGTAAATACCTGACATTCTTAGCGTTTGGCATATATTTATGGACACAATAGGTTTGACTATCAGTACTATATTTGATGAAAACACCTATAAATGGTTTGCCGGAGGAATACAACTGTTTTCTATTATTAACTAATTTCTGACGAATTTCCTGTCCTTTGCCTTTAGCTCTTTCTATAAAATCTTGAATCAATTGAATGATTAGAAAATAAAAAGAAAGAGAGAGAAAAAATAGTTAAATATTATAATTTTTTTGTATATACTGTATATAAAGTGGTAGTACCTAACAGATCCTGTCTTCTAGTAACTGTTAATGATTTAAAACAAACACTAAATAATACACCTATTACTTGGCCATCCGTGTTGATCACTGCTCCACCGGAACAGCCATGTGAACCTGTAGCCGATGCAAACATATATAACTGGTTTGTGGGCCACTGTAGGTCCTCATACTTATACCATCCTTCTGTAACCTCATCTAAATAGTGTACATATTTTATTATACCGGTTATCACAGATTTATCCAAATCGGGAAATCCAATGGCCATAACATAAATCACATGCGCCCACCACTCGCTTATATCTTCCTTATCTCTTAAGATGGGATCTTTATCTGGTATGTCAACCAACAGGCCAGACACTGTATTAGTATTTTATATAAAAATTACAAAATCTTATTCAAATATTAATAATCTAAAAAATTATTTTAAAAAATATTTACTAAAGTAAAACATATATTTTAAAACATAACAAAAATAATAATAAAAATAAACATTGATTTATATAACTAATTTAATCATTACATAACATTTTAAATGGTATTAACATAATTGATGGCAATTATCGGTTGTAATGAGACTGCAATTGTATTAAATAAAATATACCCAAAAAAAATTATTTTACATATACTCCATAATCACTAAAAATAATAAATAAAATAACTTAATCTTTATACAATAATTTTAATAATTTATAAAATGTATTTAAAAGTGTGCATTATGTTATAGCGCATTATATTGAAACCTATATTTTAAAAAAATACTAAATTTAGTTAATAACAGAAACAATAAAATATTTATGTAAATAACTAAATAATTAAATTAATTTTGTTTTTTAATTAACAATAAAAAATAATTAGATATTAGAAAAAACAAGAATTTTCAATAGTCTGTGGATTAATATGAATTGCAGTCACTTCTTGTGTATTAAGTTTTTTAATCCCCAATTCAGTTGTCTGTCCAATGGATAACTGATTGATGGCATCCATTAAGTCATCAAAATTGTTAATTAATTTTTTATCGATAGTTATAATTTGATCACCAATTTTAAAGTTTTGTCTAACAAATTGAAAATTTCATTTAACTGATGATTAAACATTTACTACTAAATTACTAATATATTTATTTTATTAATAAATTACTGTAATTATCTGTAAATACCTGACATTCTCAGCGTTTGGCATATATTTATGAACACAATACGTTTGGCTATCAGTGCTGTATTTGACAAAAACGCCGATAAATGGTTTGCCGGAGGAATACAACTGTTTTCTTTCATTAACTAATTTCTGATGAATTTCCTGTCCTTTGACTTTAGCTCTGACTATAAAATCTTGAATCAATTGAATGATTAGAAAATAAAAAGAAAGAAAGAGAGAAAAAAATAGTTAAATATTATAAAAAAATTTCGTATATATTGTAAATATATATATATATATAAATTGGTAGTACCTAACAGATCCTGTCTTCTAGTAACAACCAGTAATTTAAAACCACCACTAAATAGTACACCCACTACTTGGCCATCCGTATTGACCACTGCTCCACCGGAACAACCTTCTGAAGCCGTAGCCGATGCAAACATATATAACTGGTTTGTGGGCCACGTGAGGGCCTGATATTTATACCATCCATCTGTAATCTCATCTAAATAATGTATATATTTTATTATACCGGTTATCACTGATCTGTCCAAATCAGGAAATCCAATGGCCATAACTTGATCGCCAAATGTGGCGTCAGTTTTGGCAATCATAAGCTGAGTTAACTGTCCGGAATTAATCTTCGGTAATGTCAACAGTGCCAGATCCAGATGCGGTTCAACATAAAGCACTTGCGCCCACAACATCCATATTGAATATCTTAAAAAAGGATCATTAGGTGGTAAGTCAGCCAACAGGTCTCGCACTCGGTAAGCATACGGTAGCCAAACTTTAACGAAAGGACAGTCTTCGACGTTGTGATAATTGGTGACAATTAGGCCAATAGTTGAATCTACTATCCAACCGGTGCTCCAATATATGAGATCGTCATCAATTAAATTTTTTTGCGTAATTTTGACCACACTTTTAACGTATTTATCGTAAACATTGTCTATCCATTGATTTTCATTTTCATTAGCCAACTGAGCAAATCTCATAGTCATCATCGCTGAAAGTGATCTCAAACGTAGACACGACTTAACAGGTATTTGATATGATGTCTGTCTGGTCTTAGGCTGCTGTTGGCGATACCAATGGTTGACAGCAACCGTTGACAATAGCATAAATGAAGTCCTTTAAATTAATTAATAAATAAATAAAATCAATTAATGACATTTAATGAGTACTTCAATACTTTGAAATATTAATAAAAAACTAACTGTTTATTAAATATATATAATTTATAGGCCATTCGTTGCATATTTTAAAATATTATTCAATTAACTCAAAAAAAATTATTTTAATTTATAATCAACTATACATTATATCTGAAATCTATTATAGTTATTGATTTATTTATCTATTTTCATGCACGACAACAATATATAACGAATTAATGATTAATTTTTTCAAATAACTAATTTTTACTAAATATTTTCAATAGTAATATTTGTTGTTTGAATTTTTGTCTATTTTACAAAACTTTCATTTTTGTTTTATTTGTATTATAAAAACTAACTGTAAAACATAACTGTCCTCAGCTATGAGCACTAATAGACAAAATATTGAATGTAATATACTGTTTGGTAAAAATCGGACACTACTTAATATTGATGTCGGTTGGGAAGGAATTCCCTTTAATATTGTGTTCAATACGATAATAGCTGCGGTAAGTCGGGTTGGATTAGATCGGGTGTGACAGTCGTATACAGTATTAATATACTATAGTTTTAATTGAATATTATTTCAAAGGGTTTACTGATTGCATACGCTGTAATTTTTTTGTTATTTATGTTTTTAATTAATATATAAAACTATATTTGTTAATAGTTATTAATTGTATACAATAATTAATAAATCTATTTTTATGATATAAAATTTTGATTAAAACATTATAAACATGAAAAAAGTTTTCAATGCATTAAAAGTGTAGTAAAATATTGAGAAAAATAAATAATTTAAATATTGTAATATATAAAAACATTTTTCATTAAAATATTTAATGACAACATCGCCGATGACATCATTACTGGTCAGTCATCATAGTTGGTCATCATTTCATCGATTGCATCCATGTCTTTAGCCAATTGTTTGTCGTGCAGATGTAGTTCACCTGTAAGATAGAGGACAGCGTTGGGCACAAAGTGTTTGATGAGTACCCGAGAGAGACTCCAGTCGTCTTCAAGAAATTCTTCGACATCAATGTCATCGTTGGGCGATCTCTGAAGCAATTGGTTATCAAATATGTCAAAAAACGACACTAACTTTATATGACTTTTGTTGCCAACACTTGATGTTTCATTCTTTACGCCCTTGACTTTCATCTGCCGTTCAGTAATATTGCGATCAGTTTTCCAGTCTATACGACAACCGTGTCGTGCAATCGGATAATAGCCGTCGTGTTGTTGCCACGGATTGTCTTCATTTGGTTCGAATGACACAAAATAGGTTTTTGTCAGCTCTGGGTTTCCAAAGTATTCGTTGTCTTCAAACTTAAAGATGATATCAATTTTAAAGAGTTTGTCAACAAAACGGATACTGATATCAGTCAGATGTTGGAGTACGGGTTCGTCTCGCGGTTCGATCCATTGATGGATGTGATCAACAGTTTTCATGGCTTTAATCCAAAAGCCAGGTATGCCTTTCACCGGTGATGTTGTTGTTGTGGCGCTTGTAGTCAGTAGTTGTTGATCTTCAAACATCTTCTTGAGACTGTTGACTGAATTAGTAATAAAGTTCAGTCGTTTGTTGTCTGTAACTGTTGTGTTATGATCTGTCTGACCACTAATGATATCATATATTTTTTTGTCGATCTTCTCGTAGGAAGTGCTGTAATGAGAAGTTATTGTAAACATCTCTTTAGCCAACCGTCCGTCCAATTGGTATCTTTCGTATTGAAGTTTCTTTAGGGCAACAACTCTGTCATTGATAACCGAAAGACAGTCATCCGATTTGCTGGTTGTCGGCTGATTGTCCGGTGCTTTGCTATTCATTGTGTTTGTCGATTGACTTTATTAGTAGTAGTAGTAATACTAACAACTAAGTGGTATTGTTTTAGTGGACACTATTTTTTTTTGCTAGAATTAGTTAACAGTTTTTTTAGAATTTAATATTGAAATCAATTGGAAATATTTATTTCGCGAGAATTTTGTTATTATTTTGTAATAATTGTTTTAATTGTATTTATAGTAGAAATTTTCTATTATATATCAAAAAAGATTTTTTGCGCGTTTTAACAATTATTAATTATTAAAAAATTACTTTTAAATTATATGTATTATTGAATTGACAGTTAATTTTAAAAATTTGGGAACAAATCTATATTATAGACAGCCAGTAGAAATTTATTTAACCCAAACCCACCCCCACCCATCCAACCACTTCCTAACCTCACACCCACCCCAAACTAACCTAACTAAATGATAATTAAGTAATAAAACTAACATTTTATATATGTATAACTGCATAAAAACAATACTTTTTTGCTGGCTGTCTATAATATAGATTTAAGCCAAAATTTGTAATTATTGATATACAGATCTATGTAGTACTCTATATATAGTAATTAAAAGTTATATAACTGTTTTACAATTGATTAATAATTGATTATAAATATCCATCCATTTGACTGACGAAACATAAAATAATGTGTTTTAAAGATCTTTTGCATTTGTTGTGTCCGTGTTTTGTATCATTAGACAAGAAATTGGAGACAAAGAAGAAGAAGACGAAGAAGGAAAAGAAAGTCAAAAACAAACACAATATTAAAGATATAATGAGACAAACCATACCATCAGATAAGACTAAAGATGGATGGCTTACAAGTAGTGGTGAAGAGATAGCTATCAGTAAAATTGATAGCAAAGACCTGACCCGAGTATTTGAAATTCCCGATGACTTTGAATCGGTTGATGAATGTATACGACATCAGGGATGGGAACTAATGGCTGATATTGGAAAAGGCAGTAATTCTAAGGTTATGTATGGCATCAAAATCAATACACAACAACCTATTGCCTGTAAAATATTAGAAATTAATGATTACTACAACACCAACAATAAAGACCGACAGAATATTTGGGAAAGTTTTAAACGGGAATTAGTTTTATTAGTCCGAGAAAAACATAGAAATATTATACAAGTTTTCGACCATTTTATTGTTGAGGAAAAAGTGAAAAATAAATTTTGTTGTTATATTGTTATGGAATTATCAAAACAGGGATCAGTTAAATATCAGATGTTAGATGAAAATACAGACGACTATAATATGAAGAAATATAGAAAACTGTCGGAAACTAAAACAAAATTATATTTCAGAGATACAGCCAATGGTTTACAGTATTTGCATAACAAACAGATTGCACACAAAGATCTTAAATTAGGTAATCTATTGGTATTTATTGATAACAACGGCCAAGAAATGGTCAAAATTGCCGACTTTGGGACGAGTCGTGTCAGCTATAAGGAAGATGTGGTCAAAGAGTACAAATGTTTCGGTACTGTCGAGTATATGTCGCCACAAATATTTAAGATTTATGTTTATATTAATACCGATCAGAAAATAGATAATCTGAAAAAATATAATCCATTTCAGGCCGATCTCTGGTCACTCGGTGTCTGTCTATATGTTATGATTTGCGCAAAAATACCGTTTCTACCCAACAATTGTGAGACATATAAAGATTTAAATTTAAATTTAGACACTTATAAGAGTATCTATCAAAATATGATTATAAAAAATTATGACATTTCAAATAATACAAGACATACCTATACTGAACATTGTTTCGACATTTTGTCCAAATTATTGCATCCAAATACAAGAGATCGTATCACTATTGACGGCGTTTTACAACATAATTGGTTAAACAGTTAACAAAAATAAAAGTTTATAAATTGATAATTACTTTTTAAAACATACTTTTAATTTATTACTATTTGAATAAACTATTTTTGTTGTATAGAAAAGACTTAATAAAATATCTATTATTATTATTATTATTATTCAAAATCTAAAATATAATAAATTATTTTTTTTAAACTATAAATTCAGTGATTTTAGTTTTTTTTTCGTTAATTTTATCGATTTTTTTGTCAATCAAATCATTAGTCTATTTATTATTATTATTAATTATTACTAATAGTATTATTATTGCCATTATTTGTGTTGACATTATCTGTTAAATCTGTTTCAGATGTCTTGATTTTTTTCAATTTTTTCATTTAATTGATAATTAGTCACTAATTTAATATCCAGTACAGTATTATATCAAACATATTATATTACTGTGTATTCAAATAATAAACTATTATTACAATCTATAATAATAATTCAATTGATTTTAAGTTCAGACTCATTATTGAATCTAAAAATTGATATTCAAATTTGTGCGAAAAAAACTATACAATGGTTTAGAAATAGTATTAAATAATTTAGTCGTAATAATAATAATAATAAATGTTTTTATAGCAAATTATCAGTAAATTAATCAATTTTAACAAAAAAAAGTTAAAACTTATTTATAAATTATAAACATTTATATAACTTATAGTATATCGTATAATAATAATATTGTAATGTTTTAAAATCAAAAAATATTAAACAAACAAAATAATAATAATTAATATAAACAACAGATTAGAAAAAACAGCAATTTATCATATTTTGTGTTTCAATGGTTTTGGTTTCACTTTTACGATCATTCCTTATCTCCAACTTAACCGACTGTCCACTAATGAAATCTATTAGATTTTCTGGTTGTTTGTCGACTGCCTGTCCATTAATGACTGCTATTTGATCGTCAATAGCTAAAGATTTTCTAAAAAAAATTAATTTTTATTTTTTATTAATTTAAAAAAATACCTAACAATAAGATTAAATTGTTTATTTGTAAATCCAATACATACCTGACCTCATCAGTGACGTATGGCATATATTTGACGATTTTATACGTTTGAAGTGATCTATTGTATTGAACGCAAACACCGATAAATGGTTTATCCGAATATAACTGTTCTCTTTGTTTGACTAATTGATTCAAAATGTTGTGTCCATTGTTTTTAGCCCTTTCCACAAATGCTAACCACAAAAAAAACAAAACAAAAATTTTATTGAAAATATATTTTAACATAAAAATGTGTCAAACATTTTTATTTTTATCACCTAATAGATCCTGTCTTCGGGTTAATATACACTTCTTGTATAAGCCATCAAATTCTACACCAATCACTTGGCCTGTAGTGTTGAGCACTGGTCCGCCGGAAAAACCTTTAGTGGAACCAGTAGTGGTCACAATCGTATATAATTGTTTTTCTGGCCATTGCATGTCCTTATAGTATAGATTACCGATAGACCATAGATTATAACGGCTAATATAGTCTATGAGACCGACCGACACTGAATTGTCTAAATTGGCAAAACCAATGCACATGACTTGCGAGCCGCGTTCGGCATCTCTATTGGCAATCTCGAGGTTCGGTAGTCGACGGTCATTGATTGACGGCAATCGAAGTAATGCCAGATCTAGATGTGGTTCGACATAAACTACTTGAGTCCACCAATAATTTTCTACTGTATTGTCGTTAACAGGTTGTTTGGCCAACGGTTTGCCCAACATATGTGACTGGAGCCGAACTCTAGCGAAATGTGCGTCCTGTACGACGTGATAGTTGGTCAAAATAAGACCCGCATCGGCGTCCACTATCCAACCGGTACCGAACTCAGGATTTTCTTTGTCGTCATCAGAATCTATACTTTCAGTATCACTGCCACTATTGTTGTCACTTTCATCATCACTGTCATAGTCAGACCCACTGCCACCACTGCCATCACCACTGCCTTCACTATCGTCGTCGTGGTCATCATTATCTTCAGTCTTCTGAAAATTGCGATCATCTTTAAAAACTTTTACTATAGATTCAATGCATTTATGGTAGACAGTGTCGACCCAGTCTTTGTCATCATTATTAGCTAACTGAGCGTTTCTAACGAAAGCATTTGAATACGGTATCAATGTTTGACACCACTCTGACGGTTGACTGATTAGCCGCTGTTGTCGTTGATACCAATGATTGGTCAAAATTGCCGAAAACAACAATGAAGACGATCTGTTATGTAACATAAAATGTGTGTTTGATTGTGAAAAATATATGTTTATTATTACTATTAATAAAAAAAATAGCTAACCGTTTGCTAAAAACTATTAATGAGATTCTTTGCATTTTATTTTAATTAATAAAAATCAAATTAACTTTTTTTTCGCCTCTAATTAGTTACTATTTTTTAAAAAAACTATATTATCGTTTTATTTCATTAACCATAACATAATAAGACAAATAAAAGATAACAACAACAAAAAATATTTGAATAAAACACAACAACAAAAATTACAAACACATCGAATAATAAATAAAAAACTCGTGAAATATATTTTTTTTTTCGGTTAAATCATATAATAATTGTTGTAATCATTAGCCACGTATTATCAATACGTGTACAGTAATTGTGCATAAAATTTACGATATATATAGTAATTAGTAATTACTATATATATCTAGTAATTATTAATTACTAATTATAGTAACTAACAGTTTATATAGAAACTTATCAAATGAACTATTTTTGTGTTAATCATTCAATTTATTTGATATGATTTTAATGAATGGTTTTCAAACATTTTCAAACATTAAAATAAATTATATGTAATTAGAAATATCTTAAACATATCTATCATTTAGTTATTGAAAGTAATTATTAAAAAAAAAATAAAATTATTGTCAACAAAATAAATTACAAATTTATTCTACTGTTTACCTATTTATCTATCTGTCTGTCTATCTATCTATCACTCAATCAAATGACCTAATGGTTGATTACTATCTGAAGATGTTGTTGTTGTCTTAACAGTCTTTTTAGTACATCAAATGAGTGGTTGAACCAGATCTGGGTTTTCGTATTTTCTGCATATTCTTCATTACCATATCGTGAAGATTCATGTAATGGTTGCGCACCGTTACCATCGATAACAGACAGTAACTTTGAAACGATAGATCGCGCTCTTGGATGGCCCGACTGTAGTCCTGACAGTCAGGATATTTGACGGCTTTTTCGATCAGTTCAGCTCTGGCCGGAAAATAGGCGTTAATTTCGCGGACACGTCGTTGGATCTCATTTTCGACGACAATCATGGCTTCAATGCATTCATGTTGTACTTCGACACCGAAATTGTTTCCATCTTCCATCTCAGGGACCATCAGATTCATACCCACACCTGATGACAGACAGTATTTCGATAGTTCCCATATCTGTGGCATCAATATGTCAACCATTTTTCTCAAGTGTTGGTTATCTTTGACAGCAATTGCTTCCGAATTTGAGCCGTCAGTCAGTGATTTGTCCGACACTTTTCCATCGGATTTGTCTGTCATTGTCGCTGCTGTTTCAGATGATTTACTGACATCACTGCTGATGGTAATCATCGGAATGTTGAGGCCATTGTTGTTGTTGCCATCGATGGTAAGTTGTTTGTCGATAAGTGTATTCAATTCGACAATCTTTTTCGGAAATCGCTGGACAATGACTTTGACGGCCTCGGCTTTGATCTGACCATTGTATGCCTCTTCCATGGGATTCACTAATATCTTCTTCATTGTGGTCTTTGTTTTGTTTTTGGGATTACTTTTTAATTACTTTAACAATTAATTTAAAATAAAATGAAACAATTAAAATAAAATCAATTGTTAGTAAAATTATAAAATTTAAAAGATTATCATTTTGGGAGGTTTTGGGAGTTAAGCTACAAATTAAATAGAAATATCAGACCAGACAACACCAGAGAAGCATAAATACAGAAAAAAAGGTATAGACAGACAACACAAACATTAAGACACAACATGAATCCACGTAAAAGATTTCCCGATTTTTCGCGGCCACCGTCCCATCCGTTGCCTGACTTTACACGTCGGCCGCCCAATGACAGACAGCCTAATCGGCCACTAATAGTGAGGTCAATATTGCCAGAAGCCCAACGATTGTTCCGACCGCCGCCACAACCCCAACGAGTGTCAGCAACACAGGAGTGGACAGGAGACGGCGGCAGTCAACTGGCTGCCAGACCGCGTGAATTGCTTAGTAGGTCTCAATCGGTGCCAACATTTGGTTCGGGACGACCACCAATCACTAAACCGCATCCTTCGCTGGCATCTTCTCCGTCCTCATCGTTCACTGATAGTTTCCCGGCAACAGCGGGATCGTCGACAGCTCCCTGGACTGTTTCATCGTACGACACCAGCAGTAGTCGGTCATCATCGCCATCGTTGGAGAGATCAATTGGAACTCAGTATCCATCGCCAGAACCACCACCACCAGCAAGAAGATCAATGGGAACCCAATATTCGACACCATCGCAGTCAATGTACAACAAAAGTAATCGGTCATCATCAACACCGTCACTATATCAGAGTCTATCGTCACCGATGTCCAGTCGACCTGCCTCTCGATCACTATCTGGTAGTATTTCATCAGTTTCGTCGCAATCAATCGGCCAACCATCGGCCAGTTCATGGAATAGCCTACCGTCACCAATGCGCGGTACGCCCAGTCCACCTCCTGCTGGCCGATCACTATCTGGTAGTATTTCATCGGCCAGTTCAGGAAGGAGTCTACCGTCACCAATGCGAGGTACGCCCAGTCCACCAGAATCATCAATTGAATCTCGTCAATACTGGCAACCGACTCCATTGACCTACGATCCAGAGTTACCCGAGTTTAGAGGACACGATCAAAGACCAGTGACCAGTCGGGTGACACAAATACCGGGTGATCCACGTTTGAGTGGTTGGCGTGGTTGGAAAGGCTGGGACCGAGTGGGCAAAATGACTCGCGGACGATCCGACAAATATGATCTGCAACGTCCAAAAAATCTAACGCCTGACGGAACCGATGATCTCTGGACTGATCCATCCTTTGAACGGATAAACAAATGGGAAGCGTCCGGAAGTCGAGCGTATAAACTACCGCAAGACGCGGAACAGTTCGTCTATCGCGAACCCGATCCCGAAATCTTTCGTCAGATGCCTTACCCGATGCCTAAAAACGAGTATAAGAGAAAATTTGGTAAAAACAAGGGTTTGACTACAGCAGCGAAAAAATTGCTTAGTGGTCGCAGAAAAAAACGTCGCGATAGTGGTGCCGATGCCGACCAAACGGCCGAAGAGATACCTATGAGTGGACAACCAAAACAAATTCAAGACGAAGAAGAAGAAGAAGAAGTCAATGACATGTTTGAAAACTTTGATCAATGACGACGACGACGACGACGATGACATATCTGTGTCCAACTGTAGCTGATATTTAAACTAAGTATTAGTGGATTTTTTTTGTGGACGAAAAAAAGGATTCAGTTTTTTAATTTAAAAAAAAAACTAAATAAAGAATTATTCATTAGATTAGCAAAAAAAAACATTAAAATATTTTGAATTATTTATAATAGACTAATGTTTAGATTAGATTACTTACTATTGATGAAAATATTGGAAAATATCAGTATTGCTGTAGAAATAGATATTTTTATATTCAATATTACATTATACTGTATATACAGTATATGACAACCAAAACAAATTTAGGATTAAATACCTACAAAATATTAGATAAATTTATAGTATTAATGCTAAAATATTATTATTATTATTATTATTATTATTATAGTTCATTGAGTTATTTTTAATTAAATAAAATGTTATTTGATAACAAACATTACTACTTTATAAACTTACTAAACTTTTAGCTTAAAATTACAGTATTATTGAAACTTTAACTTTCAAATAATCAACTATTAAACTATTAGCTGATATAACTGTCCAAATATAACTAAACTAGCAAACCATATGATCGATACAATTGCCAAATAAAAATGATTATGTAATCATATACAGTATATGGTATACACTAAATATAAAACTAAACTAATCAATGATAACATTTAGTTTATGGATATAACATTTAAATACTATAATCTAATTTATAATTTAAATGTCAATTATTTTTTTATAGTAATTAATTGATAAAATTTGACTAAAAATTATCAAAAAAAAAACTTTTTTTTAACTTATAAACTAATATTTATGACTTTTTTTGTGTAAATATATATATATTTAAACAAACAAAAAATAAATAAATAGAAATAATTCAATGAAATTGTTGGACAAATTAGTTGTGTCTTTTTTTATTTGATTTGAATCAAACAAATCTTACAAATGATATATAAATGCAATCATTTATTTTTTTTTTTTTGGTTACTTTGACACCGATATACTGTAGATATATGTGGACTAAATGTATGGACAGACAGACTGATTGATTGATGATAACAGACATCAAACCCGACTCACATCAAAATCTCCGCGAATAACAACCGCATTCTGTCTTCTTTCTCCACTTCCTCCACCTCTTCCACCGCCTCTTCCACCGCCTCTTCTACCGCCTCTTCCACTGCCACTTCCACTGCCACTTCCACTGCCTCTTCTACCGCCTCTTCTACCGCCTCTTCTACCGCCTCTTCTACCGCCTCTTCCACCACTTCTTCTTCTGCCTCTTCCACCACTTTCACTACTGCTTCTCGAAGAACGACTTCGTCGCTTCCTTCGTCCCTTAGAACCCCGACTTTTGCGGCCACTCTTCTTCCGATTCTTCTTTGATTTTCGTCGGCGTCTACTTGTATGCCAACCGCATCGGCACTCTTTGCCGTTACTTCTCGTTCTTCTTCGTCTCGTTCTTCGGCCTCTACTAACAGTTCTTCTTTCGTCTGAGTCCTCCGAGTCTGAGTCCTGCGAGTCTTCTGAAGAATGTGTACGACTCGGCAAAACTATTTGTTGGTAATAATCTTCTTCTTGTTCTCGACGTACTGGCATTTGCCAATCGTCTTCATCCATGCTTTCTGGTCTTTCCGGAACAACAAGATATTCTTGGCCAACAGGGTGTCCGCCGTCATATATGGGTGTGGGCTCGGGTGGAGGCGGTGGCGGATAATCGCTTTGGATTGTATCGGCTGATGTTTGCCAACCAGTCTCTACAGTATTCGACGGTGCAATCGCTAAGCCATTGGTGGAACTGCCGGCCGGAGTCCCATCAGATGAAGTGGTTTTGGGTTTGTCATCGGGTTTTGATGTCGTATCGACAGTAGCGCCGCCGCCGCTACTGACAGCAGAATTGTCGGCCGAAACAGTGGCCACTTTAGGTTCGGACGGTTTTTTTGTCGGCAGCTTTGGTTCCGATGGTTTTTTTGCCGGCAGTTTAGGTTCGGACGGTTTTTTTTCCGGTAGTTTAGGTTCGGACGGTTTTTTTGTCGGTAGTTTAGGTTCGGACGGTTTCTTCTTACCGAACTCCGAGTCCACTGCCGGAGATGATAGGTCTATGGGCTTAACAGAAGTCTCCGATTTCTTCATTTCAATCTTTGGTTCCGATTTTCTAAACTCGATTTTCGGTTCGGATATCTTTTTGTCGATCATTGGTACGGATTTAGTGGTGATTTTAGGTTCAGATTTTTTGGTCCCAATTATCGGCTCTGATTTCTTTTGGCCGATAATTGGTCCGGACTTTATTGGCGTAATCTTTGGATCAGATTTCTTCTTCTGAAGCCCTGAAGAACCGCTACTCTTTTGAATGGTCTTTGATTTTGTATCGGAAACCACTTTATTTTTATCGCTCGACTTCTGAGCACCGGATGAACCACTGCTTCCCTCTTTCTTTGGATCAGACGATGGCTTTTTCGGAACAGATGGTGATTTATTGGTAACCTTTTTCGGATCAGACAATGGTTTTTTAGGGTCCGCTGATGGCTTCTTGGGATCTGTTGACGGTTTTTTCGGATCGGATAACAGTTTCAATCGATCCGGTGTTGACTTTTTGGGATCGGTTGAAGGCTTTTTCTTGTCTGATGACGACTTCTTTGAATCCGACGACGACTTCTTTGGGTCCGACGACGACTTCTTAGGATCCGATGACGACTTCTTTGGATCCGACGATGACTTCTTTGGATCCGATGACGACTTCTTAGGATCCGATGACGACTTCTTAGAATCCAATGTCGACTTCTTAGGATCGGATGACGACTTCTTTGGATCCGACGATGACTTCTTTGGATCCGACGATGACTTCTTTGGATCGGATGACGACTTCTTAGGATCCGTTGATGGTTTTTTTGCATCAGTCGATGACTTCTTATTGTCTGTCGACGACTTCTTCGGATCCGACGACGATTTCTTTGGATCCGTTGACGGTTTCTTTGCTTCTGTCGACGACTTCTTTGAATCATTGGATCCTTTTTTGTCGTCTTTTTTTCTCAATTGTGAAAACAGTGTTCCTCTGGTATTCTCGAGAGCATTGCTGTCTGTTTTCTTAACTTTTCCTTTGTCTTCGCTGCCCTTCTTCTTGTCCTTCTCTGGCTGACCCATAACTAACTGTCTTTTTTTAATTGATTTAATAAAACAAAATATCTTCACTTATCAGCAGATGATGTCAACTGTTTTTTTTGTAAAACTATGAATTCACTGATAACTGACAAACCGATCGTTTGAATGATTTATTAATAATAAATTTTTTTTTTGAAAATTTAAATTCAAATTAATTATTTAAACAATTCATTGTTTACGTGATTTTTTGTTTAAATAATTAATTTTAATTAATTTAATCAATTGTTAATTAATTAATTTTATTTTAGTTATTTTTTTTTTGATAATTATTTTATGCAATCAATTATTTCACTACAAATATAATGAATGGATTAGTGAATACAAAACATTACTAAATATAAAATGATTGAAATTAATATTATTATATATTTTCAAAATTATTTTAATGATTTAATATAATATTAGATTTTATATTTTAATATAAAACATACACATAAAAAAATTAACTATTTAAATACCAAAATACTAGATTAAATGGATATACAGTGTATATTAAAACTTGATAATACTTTTTTTTTAAAAAATAAAATTACAACAAAATATACAGTCCAATAAAGTTCATATAATAAATTTCAAACAAAATAAAATAATATATATCTGTCAATGATTATATAAATTATTTTTATAAATCACAGTAATAATAATAATAATAGCCATTGATATGGCAATTAATTTAAAAACAAATATCACATATAATTTGGTGATTCAAATAGTTTTTTTTGTGATAAAAACAAAACAAAAATTTAAGTTATTTTATCAAATTAATTATTTCTATTTTTGTCTGTTTGTTATTACTGTAATAACTATCAAAAAAAATAATAAATAAAATAAAAGTAAAGTTATTTGTCGACACTCTGAAGTTATATTAAGTTAAATCAATAACAAAAAAAACCGATAAAATTAATTAAAATATAAAATTATTACTATTTATAATTTAAAAATATATTTAAATTTAAATTTTCTAACTAATGATTGGTATAATTTATAACATACGGTATATTTAAAAGTGCATTATTTTTCAGCGCTTTTATATTGAAAATAATTAGTATAAAAAAAATTTACTAAATTTAGTTAATAACAGAAACAATAAAAAAATATTGTTTTTTTGTTTTTATTAATTTTCTTTCAAATGACTATACAATCACTACATCTGTGACGACGGCCGTCGTAGCGACCGATTCGGTGTCAACGATGGCGTGAGTCCAGCGGCCGGTCCTCGGGAAGCTGCCGACTGATTGCGCTGACGACGGCTGATTCGCAGGAACTGTTTCGGTGAGATCCGTGAGCCACACGCCCGACAAGACATACGGCCCAGAGCTGGACGACCAGCAGTAGCCAGGCTTTGTTGACCAGTAGTCAGACTCTGTTGACTAGTTTGTGAGCTAAAGGCTCCGCCACCAGACATAAGTGAACTCGAAGATGGACTGCTGCTGAGCATTGGTCGCTGACCACCCATTAGTGGTGGCGATGATTCTAGCGATGACATTGACGACGACGACGCCATCGATGATCGGCGCAGATTTGCCTGAGATGAGCGACGGTAAGGCCGAGACTGACGTCGATTGACCTGAGATTGACGTCGATTGACCTGAGATTGACGTCTATTGACCTGAGATTGACGTCGATTGACCTGAGATTGACGTCTATTGACCTGAGATTGTCGTCGATTGACATGAGATTGGCGTCGCATTGATTGTGATTGACGCCGATTGAACTGAAATTGTGTTGTTGACGGTCGTGACATTGGTCGAGGTATTCTCTGTCTGAAAGCTGGTCTCTGTATTTGTTCACCAAAACTACTCGACTGTTGCATTGAATAATTAGTCAGTAAGATGCGCGGCGGCGGCGGTGGTGGTGGTGGTGGCGGCGGCGGAGGTGGAAGTTGTAACGGACGTGGAGATGGTATCGGAGGTGGAGCTTTCCTAAATCTATACGATTGACCAAAACTTTGTTGACTAGACAGCAGTGAAGACAGTGGTTGGTCGGTGTCTGGAGGAGAGGCCAATCTGTTTTCCTGGAGTGACGATCGCTGAATACTTGCTGTTGACAGCATAGGACTCGACCAAAGATGTTGATCAATATCTGACGACGACGTTCCCTGGAAATTAGCTTTGCGCCATGGTGATGGTGATGGTAACTGACGTGGAGGTGGTGGCGGAGGTGGTAACTGACGTGGAGGTGGTGGCGGCGGTGGCGGAGGTGGTAACTGACGTGGAGGTGGTGGCGGAGGTGGAGATGGTGACGGAGGTAGAAGTTGTAACAAACGTGGAGATGGTATCGGAGGTGGAGCTTTCCTAAAGCTATACGATTGACCAAAACTTTGTTGACTAGACAGCAGTGAAGACAGTGATTGGTCGGTGTCTGGAGGAGAGGCCGATCTGTTTTTCTGGAGTGACGATCGCTGAATACTTGCTGATGACTGCATAGGACTCGACCAAAGATGTTGATCAATATCTGACGACGACGTTCCCTGGAAATTAGCTTTGCGCCACACTTGACCCCGGACTGCTGCTGCTGCCGGTGGCGGACCAGCTAAACGAGCAGCTGGTGTAGGACTTCTACGTGGCGGCACAACTACCCGTGAATTTCCAGGTCTTAGTTGTCCAACGCTACCGCCAGAAGCAACTGACGGCCACCGTATCTGTTGCTGTGATGATCGCCGGATACCACTCGAACTTCCCAGCGCTGGAGCCGTAGCTAAATTGCTGTACGAAGAAGAACTGCTCTGAGAGTCGGTCCTTGCAATCGTTGTCGATGACCCAAATTGTCGACTACTACCTCCTGAGTGAAGCATTTGTCTGCCAGAAGATCGTGCGGGCGAACTAGATCTACTCGATTGAATAGTAGATGATCTGTTACTGGCTGTCGACGCCGTCGATCTTCCGCCCAGACGTACGGATTGCATGCTTTGTCTCAATAAATAGATCGGGACGGCGTGTCCGCCTTTCCGCAAACGTCGTTTGAATACCAACCGAAAGAGCAGCCAAACTAACAGATAGGCGATCATCGGTCGGTATAGTTTCGGCACTTCCTCTTTGTAGATACACTTCGGGTTTCGTTTTATTTTGTAGGCTTTGGTTAATAGAAAAACGGTCAGACCAAAGAACACGATGGCCACCACTGCCCGCACTAAAAACAACAATCGCCGCCGCTTTGAAAGCCGACAGCAGCCGCCTTTCCGATTGTGTACGGCTCCTGTTGTCGGCGGAGGTGGCAGTGCTGCCGGCGACCGTTGTCTGACATTTCGTGACGCCGATGAACTCATGGCACTATTTAGGTCAGTCACGGATCAGCTAAAATACAATACAATTTGTTGTCCAGTCTTAACTGTCTTCTGTGATTTAATTTCTATTTATTGGTAATTTACTGATAATTTTTGTTTTATTAACTGATTTTTCGACTAATTATTGTTTAACTGATTTTTGTTTGAATTTAAATTGAAATTTTTTGTTTAAAAAAATTAATTATTAAATCACGTGATTTTTAATTTATTATAGTTCATAATAGTTTTAATTACTTTATATTAACAAAACAAAAAAATTATTTAGTAATAAAATATCATTTATTATAACTGATTAACTAATTTATTATTATTATTAATGCGTGATTAATACAATTTATAATATCAACCAATAATTTAAATAATTAAAAATCAAATCACTTTACAAACAAAATTAATTACAAAAAACTATAACTAAATTACTATTATTTCTGGAACTAATCGCTTAATCATATAATCGTTTTAAAATTAAATTTAATTAGTGATCAATATATCCGTTGACTGACACCACCGATGACTAATCAAGAGTACAACAAGAGTAGGACAATCTCAACACCAACAACAACAACAAGTGATTTGGTTTTCAACAATCCATACATTTTAGCCAAAATAGCCGCCCGTTTGGACATCAGATCCCTGTCCAATGTCCAGAGTGTTAACCGTCACTTCTATAACGCCTCGAACTATGAAACCGCTAAACGCCGAGACATTGTCCATATCTATCTGTTGGACGACTACAACGCCAGCGCTAAGACAGTTAGTCCAACGCATCGGCTTTTCTACTCGTTTCGGGCGTACACTCGTCTGTGGCTAAACACTAAACCCATGGAAGCGATAGTAGTAATCGGTGGCTACAATCGCAGTCCAGACTATCGACACAAACACAACTCATTGGAAAGTTTGTCGCGATATTTGCCGAAACACTGTCGCATAACATACCTGGACGTCGGCAGTACTGTACTGACCAGTTCTATACGATACAAAAGTCTAACCAATTGTCACATCAATGGATTCAATGACTTTGATCGGACAGCCTATCCATGTATAATACATACATATATATGCAGATAATTTATCAGTTAATGTGGTTTTTTTTTGAATAACCTTTCTCTTTATCTCCATTTCCCTATTCATAATAGGCATGTCTTCATTATTATTGCCCGAAATAGACGGCATCGAAATCTGCAGATACCGTGACATCAATTCAGTAATTATAGACGAATCGGTAAAGTGTGTCCTATTGTTTCAGTCGCTAAAACTCATGAGAAGAAGTGGTGTCACATTTGGAAAGGCATCGCGACTGACGTACTGGGCATTAGAGTCGATGATCGCAAAGTTTGGCGACAACTATGCATTGGGCGGCGGAACTGTTGTGGCCGTCAAAAGTATGCAACAAAACTGTCCCGAAGAAGACGATCTGTGCCATACACTGGTGCTGACCATTGGTGGCGATCGTGTCCGCACCGGAAGCACTGTCATCTCCACAACAACAATCAGTTTCGAGCTATTCTATGCTCAGCTAAAGACATTCAAATCCCGTCTCGGCTTCGACTGCGATGACAGCCGCCGGTCAACGACTGCCTGCTTTGTGTTTAGCAACCGACGGGCTTTCGGTGACCAACTGTCGCTGGCCCTGCAAATGACGTTCCCGAGTGCCGCACTGTTTGGCTTTCAGACCAACGAAGGTATGTTTGGTAAGGAGTTCGCCGCCACCGACACTGATGGCCACCAAAACAGCCGAAACAAGACATTCAACGAAATCGCGGATACGTTAAACAAATCAGTCATCGTTTTAGTCAACTTTCAGTTTAGCAAACATTGAATCATTTATTATATATTTATGTTATTTTTTTGGATTTCATTTATATTTATATATAGTTTTTAATTAATTAATTAATTGTTTTTTGTTTTGTTTTATCACTTAATAATTTGTTAACATTTAAAAAATATATATTTTTAATTCATATATATATTTTATAATGCTTTTAAATTAATATCCTCTGTTTCTAATTACATAATAAATAAAAAAATAATTAGCAATTATTTACAAAAAAAAATAATAATTTTTGATGTGTGCTGTCATAACTATTTTACTGTATTTATATTATCATATTTTTTTATACATAAAATAGTAAATCAAAATAATTTTTTTTGTTAACTATAAATCTAATCAATAATTTATTATTTTCTAATTGATTTACTATTCAATGTATGAATACATTTACTTAACTTATAAAAACATAATTTATATACTGATATATACAGTAGTAATGAGTTTAAAATTACTGGTAATTTCCAATATAATAATCATAATTAAATTATATCTGTATAGAAAATAATATATTATAAGTGCAATAAATGTCAAAAAAATTAGCAAATATATAAATTATTATTATTTATGATAAAATTATTTACATAATGTTATTAAAAATAAACATTTTAATTTCTAAACTCTAATATAATATATTATTTTCTACACAGATATAATTTTAATTATGATTATCATATTGGAAATTACCAGTAATTTTATACTCATTACTACAGTATATATCAGTATATAAATTATATTTTTATTAAGTTAACTACATTTAGATAGTATTTATATTTATTGATTAAATGTCAAAATAAAATCAATTCAAATAATCTTATGATAAAATGTAAAAAAATAATTTTTTTAAAAAACATTTATAACATATTAATTAAGGTTAACAAACTTTTATTATAAGTTTTATTAAAAGTATATAATTTATAGTAACAATAGATTTTTTTTTTTTTGAATATAGAGTTTTAGGTTTAAATTATTTGATAGATTTGAATACATAGACAGATATACATATAGAGTATAAAAATTATTATTAATATTAACATTATTTAAAAATAAAATAAAAAATATAATTATTTTATTATTATTATTATATTATTAACGCTTTTCAATACTTAATGTAATGCTCTTAGCCGTCAACAGTGGAGTGACATTCATGTATTGAATGGGTCGCTCGGTTTGCTGGCATGTCTTGAACCGGTATCTCATAACCATATGTGCAATGGCCAGCTTGATCTCCATGAGCGCGAAACGCATGCCAATACAGTTTCGCGGACCCGTACCGAACGGTAGATACGAATAGGGAATCAGTTTCTTGCGATTTTCCGGCAAAAACCTTTCGGGCGTAAATCGGTCGGCATTTTTGTGATAGCGTTCCGATCGGTGTATAGCGTAGACGGGTATCTCAATCATCTGGTGTTTGTCCAGTTTGATGCCTGTGTCGCCCAATTTCATCGGTTCGCTGGCAATACGCTCGAGTCTGGTCAGCGGCGGATACATACGCAACGATTCGCTGATAACGGCATCCAAATAGGGCAGTGTCTGGAGTTCTTCGTATTTGAATTCGCCGTCCGAGTCGACAATAGCCGATACTTCGTTGTAGAGTTTTTCTTGAATCTCTTTATTGAAGGCCAACTCATAGGATATATAGCCCATTGCTGTAGCGGTTGTCTCAAAGCCGGCCAACAGGAATAGCCACGACTGGGCAATGATCTCGTCTTCGGTCAGCGACTTGTTCTGAATGACTGTACTGTTAAGCATACGTTTTTCGGCCGCAATTTCGTCTTCACCTAAAAATATAATAATAATAATATTATTAGAGAAGATATCAACAAAAATTAAATAATAATTGGTTTTCATTTTTGTTTTAAGACAAACCTTCGTTCACATGATGTGATTCGCCGACATCTTTGTCGACATCCTTATTGTTGTTGTTGTGGTTATTGTTATTATCGGCGTTTGCGTTCATCAATAGCTGAAGAAAATCGTTGTTTCGTTCGCCTTTCTGACGCCTGTCCAACATATGACGGCCCAAACTGAAGATATAATCGTTGGGTTTTTCATTCAGATTCGTACGAATACCCAGCAGTCGGTTCAAAAATTTCGGAAACAAAAATGCGGGAATCATTTTGATTGCTTTGAAATCAAAAACTGCCCGACCGTTGACCACAAACGGATTGTTCGGATCTTTTTGGGCATTGGTTTTCGTAGCAAAAGCGCACGAAGCTATCACATCCATTGTCAGATTCTGGTGCATAGCCTTGAAGTCGACCGGCTGTTCACTTTCGGCTAACTCGTCCAATACATCGAGATATTCCTGAAGGCATTTCCTAACCAAATGATACATTTGTTTCATTTTGCCCGAAGTAAACGTCGGCGATGTTATGGTACGCAACCGTTTCCAGTCATCGCCTTCCGAATTGAACAGATTCTTGTTGATGATCGGGTGCTCTGTTTTCAGATGACGGCGATCGGTAAAGCGATTAAAATCTTTGACCAGAATCTGTTTGATGACTTCGGGTTCGGCCACATGAAGTACCGGATCGGTTCCGTTATATAAACTAACGTTATTTAAATAATAAAAAAATTGTGATATATTTATATGAATTTTATAATTAAATTTTTTGTATGTAAATCAAAAAAAAAAAAAAAATAATAACTATTAATTAATTTTTTTCTCTCTTTCTATTAATTACCCGTAAATTGTGCCGTATTTGTTAACATAGTCGACATCGATTTTGGCCATCGGGTATAGGATTCGGTCCATTAAATTGCCTAACAATAGGACCGGTTTTGGGCCATTGATTCCAAATTTTTTCCAGTGATTATAATTTTTTGTTAAATACCTGTTTTAAAAATGTTTATTAAAAAACATCATTTCTATATTATTAATATTAATATATTTTTTAATTAAAATTTCTGTATAAATACCAATAAATAAGTGGTAAAGTTGTGAATATGGCTATCAATAATTGATAGCCACTGAATCCAAGTATTTCAAACATTATAAAATATAAATTATTTAATTAGCAAAAAATTAACCAAATATATATAAACTGAGTTAAAATCTTCAATACTATATATATATTGATATATAATAAATATAATTTCAATTATATATATATAGTTATGATTGATTTAGTCTTAAAACCTATTGGTTTATATACTTTTTTTTTGAAACATATATATATATATATTAAAAAAGGCTTTCCAATCCTATATTAGTCGGGGTGCATTTTAGCACAGTCTACACACACACACACACACACACACAGTATAGGGTATATTGATAGTCAGGTGCATATTTTTAGTCAAACAAACATTATATTATATTATATTGTTAATGTCCTAAACTGAACTGAACATTATTTAATTTTTTTCTTATAAATCATATGATTATTTTTTGATAGAGATATTAGAGATTAAATTTTTATCATCTTTTTATTTTTATTTATTAAATTTTTATTTGGAAACCGAAACCAAAATTATTATTTAGAGTTTTTGTTAGAGATTTATGGTTTTCATTAGAATTATATGATATATATATTATTACTAATGATATCTTTTATAATAATTTATTAGAATTTATCATTAATTTTTAGAAAATTTAGAAATTTGTTTTTAAATATTTGTTTTAAATAATTAATTTCATATTTATAAATAAAATGATAAGTATTTTTTTTGTGTCAGGAAATGATAAATATTAGTATTTTTATTGTACAAAATAAATGCTATTCTGTATTTATAATATTGTTATTATAATTGTTATATTAATTAATTAATTAATTAATTTTTGATACTGTTTTTAATTTTATAACCGCAAGTATAGACCGCAGTTAACTTATCTAAGCATAATAGATAATATATATATATATAATGTGTTTTTTAATATATAATTTAAAGTAATTGAAAATTCATTATCAATTTAAGTCTGAGTGATTGTGTGTGTGTGTGTGTGTGTGTGTGTGTGTGTGTCTGTGTCTGTGCTATTATTTAAGATTAAATAAATTGAAAACATTATCAAGGTCAGCATACAGTTATATTATATGAATATAAAAAAATTAATAATTGATAACATTGACAACAAAATTACATTTTTTATTATGCAATTATAGATTGTTCAATTCAACTTGCTTAATTTTACAAAAATTAATTTTATTTTTGTTTAAAGATAAGCATTAATTTTTAAAAAATATTTTATATTTGAATAACAAATTTATATTGTTAATAGATTATATAATACATAATACTTAATTTTCTTATTTTTCATATATTTAAAAAAAATTATATATATATATATGAAAAATAAGAAATAATTGTATGATTTATTAATTTAGTAGTAATAAGTAATTAAGTAGTAATAAAAGTATTAATTTATAAATATTATATTATATAAATATATATATATACAATTATATAAATATACAAAAATTATATAAAAATTAATACTTTTATTACTACTTAATTACTTATTACTACTAAATTAATAAACCATAAAAAATTGTAAGATATTTAATGATTTCAATAAAATACTAAATAAACATAAATTTATTCAGTAATTTTGAAATATTAATAAAATGTATATAATTTATGCTTTTCTATAAACTTTAATATTATAGATAACATTTATGAGGAAATAAACTTATATTAGTTTATATAATGTTTACAATTTTGTATTTGCACCCCTTTATCACTAAATTGATAATTTGTGATACAATATATACTTTAGATGTAATAAGTAATGTAATATTATTTTTTGCACCTAGTATATTTTTTTAATTTATTTTTTTTGGATACATTGAGTTCAAAAAAATATGAACTATATATTATATTATAATTGATTATTATAAATAAATTTTTTGATTAATCTACAATATTAATAATATTTGTTGTGATTAATAAAAATATGCACCTAAAATAAAAAATAAATAAAATACAAATAACTATAATATAAATAGTATATTATCATATCATAAAGTTACTATTATTATTATTATAGGTTTTATTAAATTATTAATTTATTTTTCAAATTATTCTCTATTAAACATTTATATATTATTTAAATTTAATTCAATATATAAGCAAATTGTGTGAAATTCTGTAAATAAATTATTGAGTTAATTAGACTCATTAGAAGTTAATTTATTTAATTTGTTATTTTCTTTTTTATTTATATAATAATATAAATGAAATTTTAATGAGAAAAATTAGTTATAATTCAAGGTAGTTATTAATGATATGACTATCAAATAGTATTTTACTTTTTTATTTTGGAAAAAAAACATTTAAAATAATTAATATTGGAAAATGCCTTTAGATGACAAATAAATTGATAATAAATTATTGGAAAAATATATATAATAATAATTATTTTTGAAAATGCATTTTAGATAACAAATAAATAAATTATTAGAAATATAATATATAATTATATAATTAGTATAAATCAAGCAAATTAATTTAATATAACAAAATATTGTTTAATATATAATAAACTTAAAATTTAATAATTATGTCCCAATAACATCATAACACCATAACTAATAAGTAGAGATGTGCAAATAGAAACTTTCTAATTAGTTTCCTTAAGAAAATTTCTCTAAAAAGTTTATCATGAATAAATTTCTATAAATATTTTACTTAATCATTATACTATGGGATCTCTATACTATTTATATAGCTATTGAAATACTGTAATAAATTATAATATTATATTAATGGGAAATTTATTTATAAAATTCAGTTATATGATTTTTTTGAAACATTGTATTATAATCGACCATGGACAACTTAATCTAGATATACAATTAAGATAATTTATCATTATTATTATTATTTAATACAATAAATAAATATTTTAATTCAATAAATTTGTAGTTTAGATAGTTTATTTAGTTGACCATATATATAACTTATATATATTATCACATTTTATCAATATATACCTATATATTAGCAATTATATATGTTTCAATTTATGGATTTAAAATATTTATTTTTATATTTATAGGTAAATATGATAAATATATATTTATATAATAGAGAATTTATATATATATAAACACATTTAAAGTCTATTTCAGATATCAAATATCTGTAATGTTTCTAAATTTTGTTTTATAATTAAAAAAAATATTAGTAAAGTTATAGTTACAAATTTTTAAAATTAGATAAATTAGATAAAACTTTTATGACTTTATTAAAATAAATTTATTGAAATACAAATAGTGAAATAATTATTTGTTGTTTAATTTTTAATAATTACTATTATTATTATTATTACAATTAAATTGTATTAACACGAAAATAAATATTACAAATTGAATGATTTACTATTATAATGATAAAATTTATCAAACATACCTTACACTTACAAGTTAGTTGTTTTTTTTTATTTTCTCAATTATTATTATAATAATAATATAATAAAATATAAAATACAATTTGTTAATTAGAATAATTAATATACAATAATAATAATTATAAATAATAATAACTTTTATTTAATGTTAATTTATAAATATATCAAATGTAATAAAAATAAATATGTATAAACAATAGATATTTAAATTTAAACAAAAATAATAATAATATAAAACTTATAATTAATTAATCGCTAAATATACACTAACAATATATCTAATATAAAATCAACTATATATATATATATATATTCAATGAATCACTATACGATCAAATAAATTATACTTGATCAATTACTCAAAATAGACAGCTGGATATTAAAAGTATTATTATTATTATTATTGTAATAAAATTATATTCATACCAATAAAACCAATAACATTGACTATAATAAATACACAACACATATACATAAAAACTATCATATATTATATATGAGAGGATCATTACTACTACAGTATTATACTGTATATCATATATTATATTACATGTCCAACAAAACTGATGAAACCGTTTGAAAATAGTTTTTTGGTTTGTTTGTCAAAGAAAAATATATTAAATTTTTTTTATCTCATTATTAATTGTTTTGTTAAGTAGTTGAAGAAGAAGTTGCCATCAAATCAATAGTCGTGTTATAAGTTGTCTCTCCTGAGGCTCGTCGCCGATACCACCGTATGAATACTGCTTTCGGTAGTCAAACCGGTCAACGACATGGCCGTCAATGTCGTATTGTATACCGTTTCGGTAAACTGGGAGAAGGCGTACTCGAGACTGTCGTCCTCTTTGCCCACTTCGGCGTACGAGCGGACAAAGTCGACGATCAGCAAAAAGTTTTGACCCAAAGCCGCCACAATCTGGTCATACAATTGACAGACAAAAAAAGAGAGATAATGTTAGATATATATATATTAAAATAAAAAAAGGAAAGTTAGATTTTCAGATGAAATCATTCATACAATAGCACACACATACACACACACACACACACTCACAATGACTATACAGTTTTTATAGGTATGTCATAAAAAAAAGTAAAATTTTTATATTTATTTGCTTAGAAAAAGATACAAACACTGGCATATGTGGTATATGTGATCTCAAACAGATCTAAGCAATAAAAGCCGATCGTTGGACCAGACAGTCGCTGAATAAACATACGAAGCTATTGATGAAAATAAAATGTTTAGACGTATTAAGTACTATAGTGATAAAGGATAGACATTAAAAATAGGATAGTATTAAAAATGTTTAGTGTTTTTAATTTCGACCACTATTTATGTTTAGCGGTTATAATAAATTATATTTGATATATACATATATATATATATATATAAAAGCTATGAAATTAGTAGATATATAATAAAAATAAAATACCTGTATCTGTAGTTCAACCGGGTATTTATCAAATGTTACCCGTATTAATCTTGTATAAGATTGATGTGCCTATAAATATTATTAGCCGTAAATAAAAATATATATAAAACAGTTAAATACTGATACAATTTACACACACACACTGTAATAACAGTGTGTAATAAAAATTCATAACAAATCATAAATATCAATTTTTATAGATTTGACTGCTAAATATGTTTATACTGTATGTCATAAAAATGTAATAATAATAATTGTAAGATAGTTTTAGATAATCAACAGTTATCAAGTGTGCTAACATTATGTTATCTATTTAAATGCCTCATTTGTTATAATGTATTTATTTATCTAAATATATATCATCTAAATTAAACTCTATCTAAATTTTTTTTAATCTAAACTATGAAAACTAATTAATTAATTTTTACTAATAATTTATAGTAAATATATTTTTTTCCAAAAAAAATTTAGTTTATTTTTTTTTTTGAGTTATGATCGCTAACCGCATTAGAGAGTATGGCGGCATTGACAGAGATAGTGGTCAATATATAGGCCGATTCGGAGGCCAAGACAAACATCAATACGCGAACCAGTAATGGATTGGTAGTAAACAGTGCCTGAAACAGTGTAAAGCACAGTTGGGCGCCCATAAAAAAGTAGGTACTCATCAGCCATTTGGCCCAAAACCGGTTATAGTCGAAGATCTTAATACACAGTTCGTTGTGCTCGACAAGGATGTGATACAATAGTGCCGACCGATCGCTGGACTTCATCCGACTCGCGTCTACTATTATCGTCTCGATGTCATAATTGATCTGTTAATTGGGATATCAGTTGTGTGTTAGAATAGATGGTAGGGATGGATGTGGTGGGGATGGGATGGGAAAGGTTGGGTAGAAAATTAGTTTTCCTTATTGTTTGTCTTCTTCACAGTTTTTTTTTAAATCTAACCTTTTCGTAGCGTATCTTAAAGTAATAGCACAGAGAGTTAAAGTAGATGTACGTAACGTACAGCATGTTTGTGGTGATGAACATCCAGAGTATCATCAGTGCCGACCAAAACACTTGCATTATGTTGAAGAACTGGGAACTGAATTTCCATCTCTCCGTACAGACCCATAAAATAAAGCCAATGCCTGCCAGTGCCCGTATCATTGTGACCAACATATAACGGCGCCACTTGTTTATCGTATATTTGTGCCAATCTTCGGCCATTTTGGTGGACAATCCGTAGGCTTTGGTGGCTGATTGGCCTTTTTTAAAAAAAACAAAAATTATGGTAATAATTATGAAATAATAGTTGTTTTTCTGTCTCCTATCCCCTCCCCCGCCCCACGAAAGTATGTGATTTAGCTTTTTTTAAAAAAAGTCAGTTCTCATAGGGAATACCTCTGAGCACCTGAAACGGTGAAAGCCATGTAAAATATTTTGATTTTGTTGAACTATCGTAGACTTTAAACACGATTGTATAGTATATCGACCATATGGTGCAAACCATAATCAATTGGCGCTCCGGCCTAATCCGTTCCGTTTCGCCCAACAGTGTTCGCCACTCCAGGTCCTCGATGAAGGCCAGACCAATGTTACGTATGAATATAATCCATGCGAATGTTGTCAACAGTGTGTCGTAGGACAGGGTGGACGTACGTTCAAGTTTACCCCGGATTATACCCTAAATTTAAAAAAAAAACAATTTAAATACCGGAAATGTAAGTAAATTAACTATTTTTTTTAAAAATTATTATATCTAAATATATTACAAGTCATTAATAAATAGTTAATTTAAAAAAAACAATTAATAAATGAAATTGGTAATTTAACTATATATATAATACATGTATTTTAATATACTTTTTTTGTACATGTATAGAAATTATATTTATATAGTTTTTTTTAATTTACATTTATAATTTATTTCAGGCTTTAAAATCTGATTTTAATAATTAATAAGAAATAATTAACTTTCTTTTTTTTAAAAAAACAAATACTCTATATTTAAATCGATATTTCTATTATTTTTAAGCTATTTTAATGATAGTATTTTTTTTGAACTAAAGTTTACCATAAAATTACTATTATATCTATTATAGGAGTTATGCAATACACTATATCAATATATTTTTAGCAAATAATTACAGTATTAAACTTATTGATAAATTAGTTTTATAGTATTAAAAAATGCTTCACAAAAAATTAATAATATTAAGTTAAATTAAAAGTGTAACCAATATATATATATATATATATATATATATATATATATATGTATAATACTTTTTATAATTAATTACATTAATTATTAATCTCTATATAATACCGTAAAAAAAGAGACTACACTTACATGAAAATAGTCGTCCAAACCGTGCGATATGATCGACGAGTAATTAAAATAACCGATAATATCGAGCACTTTATCACTGGCCAAATATAATCCCTTATCCTCTTTGCTGTTTTGATGTACTTCCGACACCCGATTATGTCTATTGCCCATACTGTTTGCGGTCAGGTAGTGATACGGATCGCCAGTATCGGTAGTCGACGATTCAAAGTTATTGCTAAACGTAAACACCTGTTGTTGTTGCTCTTCTTGATAGGAATCGGGTGTCGGCTGTGGCGACGGTGTGGGTCTACTGGACAACGATGTCTGAGGTTCGGGTGTCGGCTGACGTGAAGTAGACTGATCCGGATGTACGGCTCGTGACGGACGCAGACTGCCAGCCGAAAAGCTTTTCACGCGGCGTCTCAAACGTGAACGCTTGTCACCTCTTTGTTGAAAATAATTATTGATATTTTAATTATTATTATTATAATTATATTTATTTATTATAATTCAAAAATAATAATTTTTTTTAAATGACTAAAATTATTACAAAATTAAACTTTATATATATATTTAGTTTTTTATTTAAAAAAACAAGTTATAATAATTCGACGACAAACTAAAAATTCTAATAAAATAAAATTAATTATAATTTCTTATTACTATTAATAATAATAATAAACTACTTTTTTCTCTCTAACACAGAATATTCTGTACAGTTCTGTAAAATATCTATTTTTTTGTTACAAAAAAAATATTAATTGTTAAGAAAACAACTTTTTTATTTATAATGATAAACACACACAAAAAACATACATACACTTTAACAGTAGTATCTAAATATCTAAATAAAGCTAATAATAATAAATAATAGGATAATAATAAAAATATTGTATGTGTAAAGTGCTCACGAATTTATCGATTTGCCATTTAATTGATATGCATTTTTTCAGATAATTGTATATAACTAAAAAAAACCTACATTTTAGTTATGAAATAAATATAATCGAAAAAAAACAATAAATTTATATATAAATATCACTATATAGATGTACAGCTAATAACTAAACAAATTTAATTTTCATTAACTTTCAGTACATTTGTTTTTATTAATATTAGCACTTAATTATGTTAATAATATCAATAATATTATGAATATAAAAATTGATAGCTTTAATGTTTTATAATAAAATAATTATTTTAATTATTTTTTTGCTGACTAAAATGTAACACTAAATTATTATTATTAGTTTCAATTTTAATTTATTAGAAAATAATTAACAGATAACTAATTAATTGATTATTTATATTATAGTAAAAATTTTCAATTATAAATAGATACTATTATACTGTATATTATTAATTAATAATTTAACTAAAAGATATATAATATATGTTATATAGCTTACTATAAAAGTTACTTTAAATAAAACTTTTGTTTATTTTTTGATAAATTTTTTAGAACTTAATAAACATAATTAAATTTTAAATGTTGTTATTTGATATAGTTATTTTAAATAATATTTAAAAATGTAGATTAAATAAATTATTGTATACATTATAAATAAATATATATATATATATATATATATATATTTCTATTTTAAATTATTTAAACAAGTTCAATTAGTTATGCATATCTAATTTTAAATATGCATTTTTAATAATATAAATATTATTTACATAAATCAATATTATTTTTAACTTACAATAAATATAATAAAATTACTTATTGTTTAGATAACAAAAAATCAATTTGAAAATTTAAAAACTACATTTATCTAAAATAATACTAAAATTATTAGAAAACAAAATATATTAAAATAATTTTTAATAATAAAATAATAATTATTAAACACTCACTCAATGATATCCAGTTTTGTTATGCTTTCATATAATTTTTGTGTTTCAATAGACACCAAAATAAATGGAAAATAATTTATTTAAAAAATTATATAATATTAAACATTGTTTAGTTAATAAAATAAATTATTAAGAGTATAATTATATTGCAAAATAAGATTATAATCATTCATAGTATCCATTAATAGCAATATTGATAATTTAATTTAGATTTTGATATATTTTCTAATAGTCACTAAATTTTAATAGAAACTATAAACTACTTTAAAATAGATAAATGAAACAATAGTTTATTTGGTTTATACTGTATCTTAATATAATAGTTTTTATATTGAAATTATTATTATAATTATTTATATGACTGCTACTACTATTAGAAGATTGTTATTATTATTATTATATATATATGAAGTAATATTCAGTTTTATTTTATTATTTATTAAAGTCAAAAATATTTATATATATATATATATTTCATTAATATCAAAGACAATGCACGCAATAAATTTGCCAATAAATTCAACTAACTTTTAAATATATGCATTAATTTTATGTTTGTGTGTGTAGCCAATTATAACATATGATATTTAACATATATAAATTTTTTATATTTATATATATAATTTTACTATACTAACAGTTAGTATACTTTATATTATTTATATACCTTATATATATATATTTTTTAATTAATCAATAAGTTTTATATAAAGCAACCTCTATGCGTGTAATTAATTTAATCAATATAAGATAATTGGGATTTATAAATATAAAGTATAATGACTTGTAATGCAATTAATCACTTGTTGTGTTTATTTTAAAAAAAACAAACAAATATTATATATAAATATACAAAAATATATGATCAAATGTTGATATTGATTGATTAAAACTACAATTTCATATATAAGGTATATATTTATAAATTAGTTATTAAATTAGTTACTGCTTAAATTACTATTTTAAAAAAAAAAATTATTATAAAATTTCATACTTATTTGATAATTTATTGGCATTATTTAAAACTTAAAAATACAGGCATAGTTTAAATTTTTTAAATGTACAGTACTTTCAACTGTAATTGTAATGTAAACTGTATTTTTAAGTTTTTAAGTAATAGCAATAAAATATCAAAATAAATAGAAAATTTTATAATAATTTTCTTTTTTATATTCTAACTAATTCAATAACTAATTTATCAATAGTAATATACACTATAATTAGTAATATATATACCTTATATTAAACAATACTTTTTAACAATAATTTATGTAACAATAATTTTGATGTAAGCAAAACAATAAATACCTTTAAATTTATTTTTAAAAATTAAAAAAAAAATTAAAAATCAGAAAATAACAGATTGATTGAACAAAAAGTTTTAATTATTGCCACAAAATATTAGTAGAAAACTAGTAATTATCGTTTCAATACAATACAAATCATAACTATAATACAACAAAAAAAAAAGATATTTCACACACATATTCAATATATATTTATCACTTTTTTATTGAGAGATCAATTTCCATCAATTATTATGTCAGTTAATAATAGGGACATTCAATTAGTATCGCAGGTAAACAAGTCAGTCGGCATCAGCAGCACCGGTAGCAGTAGTACTACTAGTAGTAGTTGTAGTACATCACTGTGGTCGGCACCGACATCAAAGTTTCGGCGAATTGATCTGCCGGAAGCATTGGCCAATTACTCTACGGGACACATACACGCCGTACATATTATTTTCTGGTTTCGCGAGCCAACCACTGGTATGGCCTACGCACTGATGCAGATCAGAAGCGACGGTCAGTTTGGTTTTCCCGGCGGCAAATGCGACGAACCGGTGGTCGACGAACAAGAGATGATGAGTGCGCTCTATCGGGAGATCTGGGAAGAGATGGACTATAGGTTAGGCGACGGCGACATCACAATCGGCGACCATTTGTTTAGTCACGTGCGGACACACGACGAGGCCAAGGTATTGCATTTTTTCGGCAAACAGTTAACCGCCGAACAGTTTCGTCATCTGGAGCTCACCCACAGTCACGCCGAGTCGTTTCCCAGCGAAACAGTAGGTATTATTCGGATACCGTTAGGCCAGTCGGATATCGGCGAGTGTCGGGCTGTACGCAAGTTTTTTGCCGGTTTTGGACGACAAAAGTTTGCCGGAAATGCCAGAAACCAATTATTGGAGTCAATAGTGGCTCTGAAATTGATCTCTCCAGAGGACATACAGTATGTAATAAGTCGTATCGTTTGACTACGGGTTAGCTCACAATTAGCTCATCTGTAAGTAAGTCGTATCAAATTTTTTTATCATCAATTAAATATATTATGTATTTATTAAATATATTTTTTTAGTTTTGTTTTTTATGATGAAAAAAAACAAAGTTTCCGTTAAAATATCGGTATAAATGAAAAATTAATGTTCAGAAAAAAACTTTGCAAATAAAAAACTAAAAACTTTTGTTAGATTTTTATTGCGATTTATTAAAACAATCTGAAAATACATATATACCGTATTATTAGTATTATCTGTAATTTATTGATACTAAACCTATAAATTTATTTATATTATATTACAACCATAAGTTTGTAAATGATATACCAATTAGTTATAGAAATAATAAATAATTACTGTAATAGTAATAGTAATCATTCATAAAATATAATAAAATAAGTAAAAATAATTCATTAAGTATTAAATAATTTATTTTATTATATTAAAAAGCCATATATAATATCTGTTAATAATAATAATAATAATAATTATAAAGTTTATACATATTTTTTTTATCATATAATTCAATTAACATATAAATCAATCAAACGATCACTAATTGAACAAATATTATAATAAATGATTTATCAATTCAAATACTACTGTAGATTATTATTAGAAGTTAGAAAATAATTATAGAAACTGCAAACCAATTGATTAATTATCAAAAAAAACAAAAACAAATTATAGCAATGATTATTTATTGTATTTTCAGCGCGTTTTCAATAAACTCGTTGGCGTCGGGAATATCGGACAATAGGCCACAGACATCGCAAAACTCGGCAAACGACTGACTCGGCAGTAGGTCTTCCTCGTAATATCGAAGCATTTTGTTGCCGCTCTCCAGCAATGACTGGTCATTGTTGCGAATATATTCGGCCAACGCTAACGGCCAGTCCAGTCCCCATTCGTCGCCTCCTTTTACAGACTAAATGGAGTTGTGGTAGAAAAATTGGATCAATTAGATCAATATACTGTATAGAGGATAAGCGCACCGTAAGCTATACAGACCTTAAACATAGTGGTATAAAGAGCGTCGACAAACGCAAAGAATATCAGCGTATTTTTATAGACAGAAAACTCCTGAACAGTCGAATCGGTCAGTATTGTGGAGCCGTGTGGCGATACGTGTCGCACGTGAGCGCATAGTATGAGTCGCTGGAGATATTTTAGACGATTTTTATGCCATACTTTCGGTGCGAATATCACTATAGACATTGTGCACCAGTAAAAGGGACTTTCGGACTAAACAAACAAAAATTAAAAAAAAATTATTAATTTATTAACTATTTTTAATATAAATTCCTGATCTTTGAATCCCATACCTCATAGCAATTCTCGATCCACTTGTTTGCCGGCATTTCGAGAAAACTGTTAATCTTTTTCGTCTCGCGAATCGCCGATCTGGTAGTATTGATCACATAGAGAGCCATATGAATCATATAAGGTATCATATGTAGGTTAGACTGTGAACCGCCGCCACCCGTGTCGTCGCTGAACGACATTTCGAAAGCAAATCTTCGAATCAATAGTTTCAGGTCTTGAATTGTCAACGAATAGGAAGTCGAAGAAACCTCACGATGACCGGTACATTCTTGTAAATAGTTGTTATGTCGGGCCAGTGCCGAAGCAAACGCCGACTCCTGGACTTGCGGTCCCCATAGCGGCAGCAGACCATTGCAGCGGGTGTTGGCGTTTTGCAGTGCAGCCGATTCCCATTCGTCGCGTCCGCGAGCGTGCCGTACGGCTGCCATATGACAGTCGACGTGTACAACATTGAAGTGTGTGACAGTAGTATAGCCTAAAAATTCACAACAATTAGATAAACTTAATAATAATAAGACAATTATTTATAATAAAAAACATTTCGACTCCAAAAACAAACCTAAACTCTTGCGTTGTTTGATCTCGAAGTCATCCAAATTGCATCGTTTGGTATACGTATAGATACCCAACACTTTGTTTGGCTGAAACTTGTATCCTTCGCGACATATGCTGCATATTAGTCCGGCCTCTTCGCCCAAATCTTCCACCTGTTTTAACAGCGAAGCCTTGGCGGTCACCTGTCCCTTGTCGTTGGTACGCATTCCCAGTGCACCCAACTCTTTCTCGCGAACAGCCATTGCCAGACGTTTTTTCTCGTCTCTAGTCTTGAGTCTAACTTCTTCGATCTTGGCCTTGACCTCCGAGTTCTCCTTAATCGCTTCCATCAGATACTCGGCCAGCGAACCAATGTGAGCATCGGATGCCACCTGTTCCAAACCGTGAATAATCGGTATACTTTCTTTCGAGACTAACAGCTGAGTGCTTTCGTGTCCGTGACTGAGTCCGGTCAGTATTCGCAGCACGTATTTGAGCGCTGGTCGCGACGTAAACTCTTTCCACTCTTCCGAAGTGCCCAACAGTGATGTCTTTAGGGTCGGTGCGTGAAGTAATAGGTATTCCAGTGCTGACGCGACAATGCCGTCCTCGATTATCAACTGTTTGAGTCGGGCACCGTTGGCATTGTTTTCGATGCCGGTGGACATCATACAGAACAGTTCCAATTGATGATCGGTGTCCAGTGTGTGATCGAAATCAAACTTTTCGAATACAAGATACGGTTTGAAATGAGCCAACAGTGTCGACATTTTTTGGGCGTTGCCCAGTGTAAGGAACGGTATCAATCGAGTCAGTTGTGTCATCAGTGGAACGTTGCCTTTGATAAGATTGGATGAGGCGTATTGGGCCAACAATTTGATATCATCACAGGTGCCACAAGTGGTATCACAAAATCGATCAAATTGTTGTTCAGGCAATTGCGAGGCCTCGACTAATATGGTTTGCATGATGTGCATCAACTGTTCCATTGGTGACGGCAGTCCAGGTCCTGATGGTTGCGATATAAGTTCAGCCGATTCGGATGTTAGGATCAGTTTTAGAAGATTCAACATAATATCAATAGTGTTTAGCTGGGGATCGATTAAGGCCTGTCTGTTGTTTTTAACTCTAATGCAATGACCAAATAATTTGAGCAACACTTGCATTAGTAGACGACTTCGTGAGGAAAGATCTTCGATAACTCGGAGCCGCTGAAGCATCACTTGAAGTCCATTGCATTGCGCCATAATGTTAGCCATTTTGTAGAGTTCTTCTTCGTTTACTTCTTTGTTATCTTTGCTGTCGAGTGTTTCGATAAACTCTTCGGTTGCGTCGCCCATCAAACCGCGTATTCGGTACACAATTTTCATGGCGTCGGAGTCAATATTGTTATCGGTTTGCCAGATCTTTCGGTAAACTTCTTTGACTGGCAAATCCAAACTAATAATCTTATTGTTGACCAGAAGTTCGAGTCCCGAGTCATCCTCGAGCAGTGCTACCAGTTCGCAGTCCTGACAAATCTTATTCTTGATGTCGCGCATCAACGGTCCCATACCGGTGTCGTTAGAGCTGTAGGGGTTGCCTAACATACGGCCCTTTAAAATGACAGAAAATAATAACAAAAACAAACAAACATTAGTGTCTGAAAACATCACCAAATTATCACCAAAAATTAATACCTGTAGGAAGTCGTCCTGTTGTGGATCCTTTTCAAGTGTCATAAAAAATTCAATAGAATCGTTCTCTTCGGGATAAATGATGGAACAAAGTCGCTCAAAGATAAACACCGGTGTAATCATATCATACAATTGACATTTGTTGACAGCGTCGACACAGACTGACATAAAGGCTGCCGTCTCTGATTCGGTTCCTGTTGTCATTTCTTCGAGCAGTTCCAACAGCGACTCCTGTGTTTCGTCGATCACTTTGGTTCGTTGGACAACCAGTTTTCTCAGCGATAGATAACCGTTTAGGACGAATGCAACCAAACGTGACTTATATTGTCGACGAATTGTCGGTACGTCTATAAGCGATTGCAACAATTCAACCAACATTTTCAGCGAACAGCCCTGCGATAGGTCTGAGTTGAGTGTTATCTCTTCCAAACGATTCAAATTGTCGATCTCTTTGGTAATCAATACACCCAAATGCTGGAGCAGACCGTTCAGCGACAGATAGTACTTCCAGTGTTCGGTTTGGATAATTGAATGATAAAATGAAAAGAATTCGTTACCAAACTCTCCGGCCTGACCCAAGTCGTCCAGATATGATGTCAACAAATCGATTATCTCTTTCTTTCGCGACGGTATTTGAAACAGTGCTTCGATCAATGAACAGGCCATTAGGCGTACGGAACGCGAGGCGCCGTTAAACAGTATAGTTCGCAGCCAACTGGCCTTCATGAGTGTGGCCGACAGTTTGTCAGTCTTGAGCGCCCTATCCTTCCAACGTAAGCCATATTTTTCCGACAAATATTGTGCCCGAATTTCGGCTCGCGATTTGTTGTGTTCGCCTATCGGTTGTTGCGGTACTGGCGAGCGTTTAGCTGATCTTTGGCGCCAACTCTTGAACGAATGATTCGGATCGCCGGCTAACCATCTGTTTAGGTCTACATTGATACGGAAGCCGCTGGTCTTAACGGTGGCCAACTGTTCAATTGTTTTGTCCTTATTTTTCTTACTGATAGTCGGTTCCGGTTTGATTAGCGACTGTAATAGTCGCAGACAGGGAAGGGTTATCGAGTCGAGTACTGCCGGCGAATCCATTTGGAGGCCCATCAAAAACAATTGCATAACACACCTGAGCCGTAGCTCCCAACACGAGTCCTCCTTTTCCATAGAACAGGACAACAGTGCAATCTCGTGCCGGACCGCCGATGACAGATCAATGGAAGCGCCCGAACGCGACTTGATTGCCACCGATATCTTATCCATTAGCAAATTGTTTAGATCGGCTGTAGCTCTATAGTTGTCGCGGGTCAGCGAACAGAGCAATTGGCGTACTTCGTGGCGCACGTTATTGGTTCCAATTCGCAGATTATAGTCGACTAACTCTCGAAGCAATCCATAAGAGCAAAGAAGAGTCCGATATTTTGGTGATATGGCTAATGCCTAATAGAAAAAATGTTTGTTTTTTTTAAATTAAAAAACTATAAATAAAAATCAATAAAAACATAGATTCAAACATACCTTCAGTAGTGTAATACAGTGTTCAACAGTAGCCGACGCGCAGCCAAAACAACGACCAGACGACGAGGACATCGATACCAATACCTTTGAGTCGCGTCGGGTATTGAGTCGGGGTGTTGTCGACGGTGTCAACGATTTGTCTTTTTGTTTGTTGTCGTAATCGACCAATTCTTTGCGCGAGGCCAACACTCGTTGAATAATTTTCGATAACTCATCGAAAGACGATTTACAGTCCTGACAGTATTTGATGGCCACTTGTTGTATGGCTCGATTCACGTGAATACTGGTGGCGGCTGCCGGTGCCGACGACACGGCCGGTGTCATCATTAGGATGGCGTCGGCATCGTATTTGTCAATCATTCCGTGTTCTTGTATTCTCAATAACAACAACTCGAGCGATGGTTTATTGGCGATCAGATTCTTGTAGACGCGATCAGCTTTTTCCAGCAACGAGTTAATCGATTGTACGGTTTTTTTGCGATCGTCTTCGTTTTCGATCGGATCCACGGCACAGGTAGGTTTGGCCGTCAGAGTGTAGTCAAATTTGGCGTACTTACAGAAGCCGCACGAATTGCACAAAAATGGATCCTTTTCGTCGTAGTTGATCGCACGACACTTGTGACACTGGAACACGTTTTCGCCGCAATTCGAACAGACACCCGGATTGGCCGCCACAGTAGCCGAACATCGGGGACACTGTAGGGTCTCATTGGTGGCCTGAATATTGTCGTAGAAATCCGAATACTCTATCATCAGATTGCAAGCGACGATAGGCAACGGAAATTCAATTTTCAGTTCAGTTTGACCGCCAGTTAACTGATAGCGTCGGGCCTTATGCCACAGTGCTGTCTTGTTTTTGAGTTCGACCACCGATTGAACGGCCCGATTGTTGTAGAATATATTCAAAGTCTTAACCATTTTCGATCGTTTAATGTCAGATATTCTTAGCGTAATCTTCGATATGGTGTGCGAACCAATCAGTTTGACAATCTGTGTGGTAGTAGTGAATCGGGAATCGACTTTGATTGACGACAATTTCATATTCAAATAGTTCACTTCGGGATTATTGCACACCAGACACGGTTCACTTTCGAGATAATAACCATCAAATTCGACCAACGATTGCAATGAATTATATAGATTGCTGTTCGGATGTCGATAGATGTGTTGGTTCTGTTGACGCAATACTGTCAAAGCTTTTTCGGTAAATTCGCGTTCTTTCTCATCGCTGTAATTGACTTTTAGTGTAAAGTAACCCAAGAGGTCGACAAATTGTGCCGCCTTTTTGCCATAGGAGGGCAGTTTGGGCCACAATGTCCAAAGTATGTCGAGCAGTGTTTCCTGTTGTTGAGCCGAAAAACTTTTATACATATTGTAGATCAGGGAATGAGCGGCCCAGCGATGGGAACTGGAGTTGGATTCGAGTAGAAAGCATTGAATAAACTGAGACAACAGATTATTGTCGACATATTTCAACATTTGTTGTACCAAATGAGTTGGTATCGGTTCGTCGGGTTCATCGTCGTGAAGGCTACCGGCAGAAGCCGACGGTGTGGCAGAGGATTTGGCGCAAAGAGCGCACTGAAGTAAGTGCAGAACAATCGATGAGACGCCTTCATCGAGAAGAAAGCTCACTTGAATGAGAAACGGTAGTAAAGTTGGATCTTTTTGACAGGACTTTTGCCAATTGATTGTCCGATTGGTGGCGATCTCGGAACACGACTTCAAGTGCTCGATGAGCGATATCAGTGCATCGTATGACAGATTGATTAATCCATTTTGTAGCGAATGTTCAACAAAACCGCCGTTTCGGCACAACTTCTTAATATCGTTCATATGATGTTCAAGACTATGCAAATCGCGTATCTGTCGATAGCGTTCTTTGGATCCGCATATGAATGACAACAGTTTGCGCACCTGTTTGCGTATGTATGGCGTCAGGTTGATCATCATGTACTGGCACAGGTAGTCGGTCCAGCACTGGGCAAATTGAACGCTTGACGAACAGCCACTGTTTGGTAAAGAGTTGGCAATTTTCTTGATCTGATACGGCATACGAGTAATCATTTCAGTTAACAAATGTGGATACGATTCGAAAACATCGTCGGCGTGTCCGCGAACATAGGGTCGCATAAAAAATGGTGACATTTCCGGCGGTGGTGTCAGTAGTTGTGTTTTCAATGGTGTAGATATTGACGGAACAGTTCCGGCAGCGGCTGACGACTCTTCGTTTGAATAGGTTTTCCAATAGGACAACAAATGTATTAGTATTTGTAGACAAAAGTCAAGAATATTGGATTGCATTAAAGTGGTAGCGGTTACTGATGAACAAAAAGCCGATGATGTTTCCAATAGATCCATCGATGAAGAAGGCATCTTCGATGATGAGCTACCGGTTCGTACGCGTGACATCAGTATACTTAACAGTCGCATAATAATTAGTTTGACTTCGTTAGTAGGATTTCGTTGAATCATTGAAGACATGTCAGAGTTTTCCGATAGTTGAGTCAACAGTGCGGCCAACAGAGAGTTGAGTACCAGTTTATCGGCGTCTCCTTCGCCATCCAGATCTGACGTCAGCATTAATATAACCTAAAAAATGCATAAATGGTTTTTCAAACTATTTTTTAAAAAAAAACATTTCAGTCTCAACAGACAACAATACCTGCATGAATGGTATGGATCGCAGGCCACCAACGTCTCTGATTTCGGGAAGTGATTCAATCATTTTTTCGAGTAAAGCAATTCTCAAATTGTGAAGCCGTTGATTATTGGCGATATCGGTCTCGAGTGATGAATCAAAACTAATCATAGGTTGCGCTCTGACCGGTGGTGGGCCTAACTCTTCGCCGTACGCAGAACTTCGGCCACTGACATTATGTTCACCAATGATCGATTCGACAACACTGCCACCCGATTCACTTCCGGCTTCGTTGCCCTGAAGTATTTCGTTGGCTGGCGACGTCCGTAACGTTGATCCATCAGTAGCTGCTGTAGAACCCTCGTCATCACTGGCAGCGGCCGATGCAGTCGTATCCGAATAATGTCCTCTGTCTTCCAAACTGACTGATCGTTGGGCACCAGATCTTCGAACAGCGACATTAGGTGCAGCAACTGGTGGAACATCTTGTTGCTGATCCTGAAGACTCAGAGCAATTGCCAATTCAACCATTGCCTCGTCGTCGGGATCGACGTCCGGATTAAACATGTGAGGAAACGCTGGATTAGCGCCGCCGATAAGGTCATGCTGGCCATCGTTGTCGTGCGGATCGCCCACATCTAGTGCTTCGATAACTTCGAAATGTTGGTCAATAGAGTCGTTACGATCGATGGGATTTTCGTGTACGAAAACTTCGAGACTGTTGTGCGACGAAATGGTCGGCAATTGGCGTTCCGATTGGGATGACGTGGAGCCGCCCTTTTGGTGTTCGTGCGGAGTCTCACAGTGTGGCGGTGACGGGATATAGACGCGTCGTTTTCGTGTTCGCGGCCGAAGTACGCGTATCAGCGACTGTTTGGCGCAAAAGCTGACTATCGTGTCCTCGCATAGCAATAGTTTTAGATATAATTTGCCGGCAATTTCGATGTTATTGTCGACGTCGGCCAAAGCAAATGAATGTATTATCTCAACCAATGCCTGAACTGTTTCTTCGATATGAACTAAACCGCCTTAAAATAATAATAATAATTTTTTTAAATCTATTTTCAACAACAACTCATTGTCTCAACAAACCTCTTGCAATGGTAGCCGTCAACGGATTATTCGGTCTCAATGAATACAATTTCCAAAAGATATCACTTAAATACTGACAAAACAAAACCCTTTCGTTGGCATTCGTGTCCAAACGCGAAGCAATCATTTGTTCCTCATTATTATTGTCGTAGTAATCGCTGCTCGACTGCGATGAAGACATATGGCTACTATTCTGGCCGAACGTTGTCATCTCAATACTATTGGCGCCGCCGACGTCGCTGTTGTTGTCATCTAAATTGATGGCCGATTCGTTATATTTAATCAAATTATGTGGCCTTTCGATGGCAATCTGTTTAATCATTGAAATCCATCGGAAAAATGATTCGCCTAAAAAAAATAATAATAAAATAAAAAAATTAGAAACCATAACAATCACTTTAAAAAAAACTAACTGATCCAACAAATACTAACCGTCGAGTTCATTGTTTTTGACTGAATTGTCAATATTTCTGATAACATAGTTAACTATCGCCTGATCTCTGTGGCTATTATAGGCGGCTCGTGTCGAGTGAAGAGTTGCCAAAAGTGATTTGACATTTGATTCGACCGATTCATTGTACGGCAAAGTCAAGAACTGAGTGGCAATTTCTAGAGCACAGTCACGCTGTATCTGTCGTTCTTTAGGATCAGTGGCTATTGTCGACAAGTGAAAGCAACCGTCGAGTACGTCCAGCGAATATGATAGCAGACGCTCGAGTGATGAAAAGTGTTGTGTCAGGTGTTGGGAATTATATTCAATCACTGAAATAGCCGATGAAGAAGTGGCCGGTGGTGGTGCCGATGCAGCGGCAGCTGATGAACCTATTTGTTGATATTCATCGTTGTCTTCCGGCCAACCAAATGCTTCTTTTGTTTTACCATAAACTTTGATTGAGTCGACAATTGTTACACCATTTGGATCGTTACTTGCGATAAGAGTTATTGTAATCTAAGAATATCGGTTAAGTCATCGGAAGTGATGGTTAGAATCAAAGTTGTAATACAATATTCGTATTATAATACCTTTTTATCGGCAGTTAGTGACTCTTCACGAGTAAATGGCAGATCATACCAACGACTTCTGGTGGGAGCAATGGGTATCGATCGGCCAAAAATTTCGATAGCAGTGGGCGCCCGTAAAACATCTTGAAAAGCGACCATCACTCGGACGCCAACCATAACAGAGGTGGCGTCGTTATTGTAGACTTCGATGGAAAAACCGTTCGGTTTGGTCGATGCAATATACATACCATTGGTATTCAATCGGTTCTTTACTTGATGTGTATTATAGATCTGAAGTACATCGGATCCGCCGAAGTCGATATCACTGATTTGGTTACAGTGTTCGAAGAAATCAGTTGAAAATTGTGGCGATCCTGTAGTCGAATTGTTTCGTAAAACTTTGACAGACTTTTTCGTTCGGCGAGCTTTGGAAGCGTTCGAAGCGTACGGTTTAAGACTTGAATGTAGTGCCGGTCGTAGCCAATAGTTTGTGGCCTCTTGACTGGCCATATAGATACGCAGCGAACCATCTTCGCAGAGCAGAATCAATGTTGTTCTCATATCGCCGTTCTGTGTCGAGTGTCTCATGGCTACCATATCGGTAATCTTAGATTTGCTGTTAGGTTTGATTTCTTGGACAATAATCGTATTCGGTTTGACCATCAAAATGATCGGATTATTTGAGCTCAAAGACATGGCCAGTATGAGTCCGGGATGACCGCCAACTTCGGTCCACTGGCACAGCGATTGCAGCGGTGACGAAGTCGATTTGCTAGATGAACCATTGGATGAGGCGCTTCCATTGGATGTCGACAATATTTCGATGGGAAACAAATTGGTAATCTCTTGGTTAACATTGGGAAGTGCTGTACAATAATTCTTTCCCTGACTGTAGCTGAAAAACAACAACTGAAATGTATGCGAATAATATAGGGAAACACCGCCGCCATTGATATTGCCATTGGAATCGATTATTTCGTCGTGTCTGATGTCCAATATAGAGGTCACATAGAACTGGCCGTTTTGGGCGCTGCTTTCCTCCGACATTATCTGACAGTAGATGTGTCCGGCGGACGACATTATCAGTACGTGTCGTTGGCCGTCTTCGGACACTACAAATGTAATGTCGCGAATCTTACCCGATGGCAACAAAAAGAAATATTGCGGTGAAAGAATGTCTTGGCCGAGATTGAAAATCTTGACAAAATCGGCGGTTACGAGAGCCAACTCGGTTTGACTGCCGGGAAGCCAAACGGCTTTTATAACATAATTACTGGACTCGAGCTGAGGATGTAGTACAAGGTGTCCGCTGACGACACCCAACTGCGAAAAGGTCAGTACGTGACAGTCTTTGAGACCGCAAACTGCCAGATAGTCTTCGTTGCACGGATTGCCTGCTATCGAAATGGCTGTAAACGGTAGCGGAGCTGAGGCCAGTCTGGTTAGTGTCAGTTTTTTAGTGGACGAATCGGCCTGTTTGAGCAAAGTAGCCAATTGAAGTAAAGTTATTTTGCCCTTTTCGTGACTGACGGCCAGGTGCTGGCGTTTGCCGTGATTGGAGGCCAATGCACACATAGCCACCCGTCGGATCACTTGCTGTTGCATTAGTTGTCGAATTTGTTGGCCCTGTTCGCCGGTGAAAGTCATCCGGACATTCTCGAAGGCACCTTCTTGTGAACCAAGTGTCGGAACCATTAGCTGATCACTGGATTCAATTGATTTATCATAGATGTGTAACTCTTTAAGCGCTTCTTTAGCCCGTATAGACGAGCCAATTGACGAATTCTTCAGAAACGATTTCATCATCGATGGACTCAAATATTTCAACAGATTTAGTACAGTCCACGAAAGATTCATTGTTGACATAATCGATAGTATTTCTGGTTTACTGTTTTCCAATTGTTTAACCAGTGATTCGTGTTTCAATCGAGACATCGATTCTTTGCTCTTATCAGTACTTTGATTGGCATTCTTGTCCATCGATGGCGACGATGATCGTCGCAGAGACGACGGCAGTACTGGATCGGCATTGTCTCTGGTCGAGTACGTGTTGTCTACATTGGGTGCCCGACGGGTCAGTGCAATACACGAACCGTCCTCTTTGGCGCCGCAGTCGCAGAAAAACGAACCGTTTTTGGCGTACGTCACGTCGTGATCTTTATGACAGACTTTTGCACAGATAGTACAGACGCCCACGCCTTCGATCATTTTACAGGTGTGACAGTGATACCAGTGCTGATTCATAAACTCTTTCTGTGTTGTGGTAAACGTGCATAACTTATTGCACAGTGATTCTTCATCGGAATCTTCGGCCAGCGATTCATCATCATCGGGACATGGACACTCGTCGATCCAATCGTCATCCATGACACCCATAGTGTCGCCATCGGGCGAAGTGGCCCGACCACCACCGCCGGCGGTCGAATCGTTCAAAAATTCCAGCGCTTCGTAAATATCGGCCAAATATGATAGCATATGACACGTCGATTCCATTATCATCTGATGTCGACCGGTATTGATATTGTTCTGCAATTTTTCGATCACATCCTTTTGCGACAGATATCGTTTGCATGTATCCAACCAACCGATAACCGCTTTGATCAATTCGAGATGTCCGGCACCGGTACCGGCTCCGGCCAGTGTTGTCATAATTTGCATCAATTCGGAAAAGCCCAACACCTCGGACGTGGACGACAGTATTTGACTGCCCATCGGTATGAGTGCCGATAGAAAAACTGTTGCCACCTCCTCGTCCACGGCACTGGTATCCTTTACTATATATGAGGTCAGATTTTGCAATAGTATACGATTCTCTTGGTTGGCCACCAGTACGCTGGCGTCGCCTTCGGTTCGTTCGCAAAGTACTTTCGATAGCCATGTCTGGAGTATTTGATTATTAGGTTTACCCAAACACGACAATTTCGACAACGATGTACATAGACGTACCAGACTAATGGTGTCTGGATTTTTCTCAGTGTGTTGGAACAGTTTGCTAAAAAACTTCAGCACACGTGTCGAATAAGCCGAACTAAGACTATCGTTTGAGGCGGACATCAATAGCTGAACAATATCTTTGGTATCGTCTTCGCAGAAAAACTTTTCGAGCGCCGACTGACCGGCAATTGTATCCAACAGTGATTCCATAAACTTTATACACTCGATCAGTATCTTCTCATCGACACAACAGTCCTTATTTGAATAGTTGATCAGTAAATCATAGGAATGGGTTAACGCTTCCATATAAAGTGCAGAAACAAAATTATCACTTTCTTTAGATCCAAACGCCGAATCCAATTGATTCAATCCGTACGATGAGTACGATTCGCAAGTGCTGTCCAATTGAAGCGAAAGCATTACTCGTATAAAGTCTTCTGAATATTTATTATCACTCCATTGGTAGAGATCTTCGGCTAACTTCAACAATGTATTGACAAAATGTTTCAAATTGGTATTCGAGTTGAACGATGTGGCCAACGAAACCGAAAAGGCGTTAAAATGTTGCGACTGAATGGCCATAATGTACGACTCGGATGGCGATGACGACGAGTTATGTTCGTTACGCCAGTGCTGAACGTCAACTGGAATTAGATTCCATTTGACCAGAATTTTCATCAAATTCTTTGGCAAATATGTAGCCAATTGTAGTGTCAATTGGATCAGTTTTGAGTTACATTTGCTCGACGTTATCTTCAGTATCGAATTGTAGGCATTTAACAGTTTGGTTATGGTTTTGATTCCTTGTAGTTCGTCTTCGGCTACCATCTGATGGATTAGCGAAGATCGTGCACACGACAGATGACTGGATACCAGATTCAAGACCAGTGGCAACAGTTCAATGGCAGACTGTTTGGCTTCGAGACTGGTGCCGGCCGTTACATTGGAATTCATGGACGACGAGTTGTCCGATAGATTATAGCACGAATCGAGCAGAATGTGTGTCTTTGCGCACAACACGTCCAGCGTAAACATATCCAATAGCAGTGGCATCTCTTCGACGGTAATTAATTCGTCAGAATTGTTGCTCGACTTTGACAATGAAAACTGTTTCAACATTAAACGCTTGAGTAGTTCAACGTTAAACGATATTGAATTGGCATTATTGGCCACACTCTTGAGCAACGCTTCCGGTTTGATATTTGTATCGTTTTGCATAAGCTTTGATTCCTTAATCCAATTGTAGAACCATTTGTTATTAACAATACGTGATATCCAAATAGAGTAGTGAATGGTCTTCGAGTTGTCAAATTGACGAACATCTCCGACGGACAGCTCAGTTAGACATCGCACAGACGGTGGCAATTGGAGTAGTATTCGCCAAACAGAGTTAAACGTGTACTGAATGGCGCACAGACCTAAATTGTTTAGTCGATCACTTGAGCTTAAATGGCGATTCTTCAGGTCATATTGGGCGCCGACATTCAACAATGTTATCAACGATTCGTATAGTGTATTATATGGAACTATATCTTCGATGCCGACCAGCAAAAAGTTTAACGCCATTCCTATATAAAAATTTATATACAATTTAGTCATATACTGTAAATCACTATTAAAAAAAATGTTACCATCAAGTTTGGGAACTTCTTTGTAGTTAATGTTATCAATGTTGAGAAGATAGTAAAATCTTGGTCTCATAGTTGTGGCAAACAATTTATTTTCGGTAAACTTTTGATAATTATCATCGATTTCGTGACAATGAAAGTATAGTTTGCTATTATCATCGATATTGTTGTCTTTATCGCGTCGATGGTTAGCGAAAGCTGTCGACGATTTGAATAGATTGTTGTCGATCTGTTCGATCAGCGATGTGGGCGCGTCGTACAGATTTTTGATCATATATTCGAAAAAATGGGTCAATCGGCCCAAACAATGAATCTGATAGTCGGTCATCAAATTGTTGGCCGTGTCGGCGGTGTCGACAATGGCCTGAGCGACCAATAGTAACACTTGTTTGCGTTGAAGTAGTTTAATATTGTGAAACAAAAACAACAAAAGCTGCGAGTGTTCGACGTTAATGTCCTCTGTTTCGTAGTCTCGGGTTTCTTCACCGATAATCATTCGGGTTAATCGGTTCAGTAAACCGCGCCATATCTGTATTGACGGCGAATTGGTATCGAAACGTAGATCTTCTTTCTCCTAAAAAAAAAAATAAAAACAAAAATACAATAAATAAAAACTTTTTTTTCAATAACTAAAAAAATATTTCAACAAACTTTTTGATGATTTAATAAAACAATTTGCGACAAAACTGCCAAAGTTTTCGGCGCCACATACAATGGCCAGAGACCATCGGAAGCCGGATCGGGAAAAACGCCTAACGATACCAACAGCGATATCTTGTGATTATCGCTAAGTATTTCGGTGGCAATCAGATTGTGCATAAAAGATGTCATAGCCATTGAAAACTCGGAATAAAACGAAAAATTATGAGCGCTTTCTCTGTCCAAGTCTTTGATAATATGCGCCAAAATGCATATCTGTGGCTCATTGATGGTCTGTTTGAAGTACTGGCGCAACGATTCGATTTCCGAACAAACAAAATATGTGTTCAACAATTCAAAGATCGATGTCGACAGTGTTAGATGTCGTTGTGGTTCGTGTTTGTCGCTACAGTAGCCAATGTTAAGTGTTTGTCGTCCTTTCAGCGATTTATCCGATGACTGACTGTCGTCTTGTTCTTTGAATAGATGTCCGAGAATTGGTTCGGAATCTTCATCGCGACTCGAGTCGTCCGAACTGAAACACGATTCGTCGTCCAAGTCGTGAACCGAAGTGACCGATGGACTGATGTTTTTCTCGTTCTTTTCGAGACTGTCTAAGCGGGAGATAGATCTCATAAGACCGGCCTTCCGATAACTGGCCGACGCCAGACTAAACAATAGGTTTGTGATGTTGATGTTAGACATAAGCATCTCAATCCGTTGCCAAGCGCTATAGTAACCAAACTTGTTGTACTTGAATGACGTGGACGAGTGATGACTGGTCAGCTTCTCGGCATTGGACAGCCGGTTATATGAGCCGAGACTGATCTCGGATTTTAAGTCATCAAACAGTGAGCTCAACAGTTGAACCGCGTGCGATGCCAATGATATACACAGAGTATTATAGCCGGGTTTCTTAGTTTGTTCTTTGGTTGGCATTCCTGTGATTCCACCGACACCACTACTACTAGAAGTAGCAGTGGTAGTAGTAATAGTAGTAGTGTTACTACCACTTGTGCCACCAGAGCCGGTCGGACTCGATTTCATAATCATTTTGATGCCCGACAACAGTAACCACGAGGCAAACATATGGACATTCTGGCAAATCTGTCCGCCAACACGTATGGAACTCTTCATTACCATCAATATTCGTTTATAGATCTGTAGACTAGTGTCGACAATTTCGGTGATAATTGTATCGTTTTCGTCATCCTTCGATGGCGCAGCAGTGGCTCCTTTAGAAGTGGCCGCTATCGATGCCAATGTTGTCGACGCCGTCAGCGTTAGTGATACATAAAGACAAGCGTGGATTATGGTAATCACTTTCGATAGGCGTTCTTCAGTCAACGGTTCCAGTATTGGCAACAATAGTATGCGCCAAATAATTTCATAGTCTTTGCTAATTAGTTTGCATGTATTTAGTATATGTATATCGGATCCAGAGGTCGGCAGCTTAAGTGGTGCACCTTCTTCGGTGGCGTGAACTAATTGGATGAACGGTTTGATTGTCGACAATGACATTATAAAATCGAGCAATACGTTTGTACCGCCGAGTTGTTGCAAATTGAATAGATTTTTGCCGATTAATAAACCCTTTAAAAAAATATGAAGACATTAAATATTACTGAACTAATTGATCTGAAAAGACTAATAAAATAGTCTAATAATATGTATACTTTGGTGTCATGTGATTGGGAGGCAATGCCGACGGGAGATATGATATTCTTATCGTTATCCAAATGACTGTCCCGTTTGGGAGTAGTCTCCATAATCGGTGTCATCAGCTGTTCGATGATGGCTTCGCACGAGTGATCCAAACGCAATCGTTTGGCCTCTTTGGGTGTACTGTCATCGCGCAGTGAGGCTATGCTCAGCGTCTTTAGATCGGGAGCCGTAGATTCTGTCGGTCTATAGTTTAGTGTATCCGGCAATGATGTCGCCTTTAGAGTGGCAGTAAGTTCAACAATATCTGCCTTAAGCAGCGGCGGTATGTCATCGCACAGGCCTTGAATAAGACCGATCAGTTGTTTCTGGATGTGTTTGAAGAAGTAATTTTGTAAATATCAATAATAATAATAATAATAATAATATCAAATCAATTAATAATGAAATATACTTTTGTCAGCAATGAGTTGTCGTCAAACTCGGCGATCTGATGCAAGATGTACTGCAAGACAACAGTACAGGCAGACGATGTCAATGATAGTAGACTTTTCGGAACTAATTCAAGTCAAGAAAAAAACAAAACAAAACAAACAAATAATTTCTTGGGTTAAGACAATTGTCAATCAAAATAATTATTTTATTTTTCATTTTAAGAGACGATTTTTAACTAACTTTGCGATGCATTTGTGATAATACAATGACCAGAGAGGGCCACAAATGGGGCGAAAAATTGTTTCTCATTGTCGGCAAATTGTAGTATCGTTTTGTCGCTATAAAAATCAGATGATAATCAGTAAGACATCAGTTAATTCTCAATCAACAACAACAACAAAATCATTGACAAAGACATTGATGTGTCAATGATGTCATAATCAACAACAACAACAACAACAATCATCATCGGATCAATTGTCAGTTCAAATTCAAGACAACATACCATTTGTTAAGACATTTAACAATTATGATGACTTCGTGTTTGGTTAATGAGTTTGGTTGCAATGTTAACAACAATTGCAGCGACTGTTGGATCAGTTCGTACTCGTCTTTGGTGGTCATCTCTTCTTTTTCATCCCCTCCTCACCACCACAACAACAGTTATGTTATCCAATCAATCAACTAAAAAAAAATCAGATGACAATCGCTTATATATGATAGATGAAGACTAAGATAGTTGTAATCATTTGATTTGTTTCAAACAATTTGATAATGACTTTACATTATTATTATTATTATTATTATTCAATAAATTAATTTAATTATCAATCAATAGGTTTACACAGTTTGTAAGTATCACTTAAACTATAGGTATAATAGTATAGTATTTATATAAAACACAAAAAATAATATTAATAAAATCAATGACTGTTTTATTTGTTTTTTTTATTATACATTAATATATAATATTACAGTTTATAAGTACAGTATATCTATGTGTATATAATATCTGATAATAATAATAATATTTCACTAAATGTTTTTTTAATAATTTTATTGCAATATTTTTTTTTATCACTAAATATTAAATTTAATAAATAATAATAAATTTATTATGTCTTTTAAAAATACTATAAGGGGTTGTTCACATATTACGTTCGCACTTTTTAAAAAAATCTCGACCCCACCCCCACCCTCCTCTATGTTCGCGCAAAACTATTTATATATTTTTATTTTTTTTTGTTGTTGAAAAAATCACTAAAAAATATTAATTATCAAAATATATATATTTAAAATTAAATTTTATATAATAATTATGTAATTATAATTATTATTAATTTTTTAAAAAATAATTTTAACGTAATATTTTTGAAATACTATTTGCAACACTAGAGGGTAGAGCTAATACATTGCAATACAATTTATTGTTAGCCAATAGGCGTCGAGTATTTGGAAATTTGAAAACATTTAAAAAATAAATGTTTTTTTTTTTGTGTGAATTTTGTTGTTATTTATAAATACAATAACAATAATAATAGCCGACGATTGTGACCACAATCAACAACAATTGTGACCGCCAATTGCGGTAATCGGAGGACAGATAGTGACAGACAGTAACCGTCACACACACACACACAACATGAATGGCCATCTGGAGAATAGTTCCACACCATCGCCGCCGAAATCACGGTTGCTATCGATGACCAACTATTTTAACCGACAATTGCCGCCAACGATTCCGGTCACCACCACTAACAACAACAACATAAATAATAATAATAATAATATCAAGACATCATTCGTGGCTAAGAGCTGTTACACGGGTTGGACAACTGCCGGTAATCATAATAATAATAATACTGCAAACGCTAGACTACGGGCAACACCGGCGACCACAAAGATTGATGTTAGTCAACGATTTCAGCGGTTAGAAAAGTCGGGACTGTTGGCCAAGTTTCGCGACTTTCAGACCACAAAGAGTGTGCCGCTGGCTATGGAAGCGGATGACGATGACGACAACGATAACGGCAACGATTGTGATGATGAAGTTGACGATAATTGTGATGAAAATGTCAGTGAAGTAGTAATTGGCGAACAAAATGAAGAACAATTGGGAGCTGAAGAGTGCCGTCTGAAGGATAATAAAGTGAACGGAAAGCGTGAGACCAGAGATGATAATAAGGAGACCAAAGAATCGTCGGCGACGACAACAACAACAACGACGACCAATAGTTCCGATAAATCGATCCGAAAGATTAAAGTTAATAAAAATTATTATCAGATATTGAATTGTATTGGACAGGGAGGTAGCAGTAAAGTGAGTCTATCTATCTATCTATCTATCTATCACTCTATAGAGTGGTATTAAGTGACTACAAGTGGTGTTAATTTGGTCACAAATATGTATACTTATTTGAGAGCAAATTAATATCACTTCCATAGTGAAGTTGATCCGATTAATTAATTGTTCAAATAATGTTTGATCACTAAATCAGATTTTCTACTTCTATTTACGGCTATTATTATTATTATTATCTTTTTTTGTTTGTTTGTTAGGTATACCAAGTATATGACTCCGAGTCGCAGATGACATTGGCGCTCAAGATTGTCGATCTGACCAAAGCCGACGACCAGACAGTTTGCGGCTATAAAAATGAAATCAATTTGCTGTCGAAACTTCGTAAATGTAAACGAGTTGTTCATATGTATGATTACGAGTATCAAAACAATGGCAAACATTTGCTGGTTGTGATGGAAAAGGGCGACTCGGATCTCAGTAATGTACTTAAAGTGTATATCGAATCGGAAGATCGTCGTACACTTGATCCACATTTGATCCGATTTTATTGGCAACAAATGCTTAAAGCGGTACTAAATTTTTAATTTATAAACTTTTATGTAATTTTCATTTGATTATTATTATTATTATTATCAATTAATGAAGTTTTCCACTAATGGTAACCGTAATGATTATTGCTAATGTATTTTTTTAATTTTATTTTTTGCTTTTTTTGTTGTACATGTGTGGACAGGTAGATGAAATACACTCGTACGGTGTGGTTCACTCGGACTTAAAGCCGGTTAACTTTATATTAGTGGCCGGAAAGTTAAAACTAATTGATTTTGGTATCGCTAATGCAATTCAAGCTAATTATACCTCTGTTTATAAAGAGTCTCAAATAGGTTAGTACATTACACACATACAGTACATACCGTATAAATACATGTATTTTTTTTGTATTTGACTGTCCGCCAAAAAATTTTCATCTTTGCAAACAATAATTATGATTAAATCAATTAAATTAATGAATTTTTCTCTCTGTCTGTCTCTCATTATCACTTATTTGATCCGGTAATTGAAAGGAACCATTAACTATATGGCACCGGAAGCATTACAGAATCGTTCGGACATCAGGGGAAAGACAGTTATCAAATATAACTGTAAGGCCGACGTCTGGAGTCTGGGCTGTATATTATATAATCTGGTTTACGGTAAAACACCGTTTCATCATTTTAATAATCTATTTCAAAAAGCCAACGCTATAATGGATGCCAACCATAAAATTAATTATCCCGTAATCGATGACCATTTACTACTCGACTGTATGAAAGTTAGTGTAACTTATTTATAACATTCTCTCTCTCTCTCTCTCTCTCTCTCTCTCTCTCTCTCTCTCTCTCATCAATGATTACTACTACTACTATTACTAATGGACATCATTTTAATCTAATTATTTAAGTGTTTTTCTTTTCATATATATATATAAATATAAAGATAATTAGATTTTTCCCAATTTTTCTATTTCTCTCTCAGTGTTGATAAATGTTGCAACAAATTTGTTATATTAATGGATAAATTAGTTTTTATATTTATTTATATGATTTTATTTTTATTTTATTTTTCGTCGCAAATTAGTTATGTCTACGACGAGACCCCAACAAGAGGCCGACAACTAAAGAGCTGCTAAATCATCGATATTTATTAGAATTGAAAGCACCGGCACCTGTAGCAGCCAATGCCCCGCAATTGGCACTTATATCCCAAATAAATAATTTAACACCAAATAGGATGAAACAATTATCACAAGTAATTATATTTATTTAGTTTATTTTTTAAATTTAAAATTTATTTAATGTTTTTTTTTTTAATTTTATTTGTATATTTAGGTACTCGAAAAACTAAGCAAAAAATAATCTAAATATTTTAGTACTATATAAATATAAATATATATATACCGTATATTTTTTTGATATGATACTGTAATTTAAATATATTACTTATATTTTATTATATATTATTATTATTGTATCAATTTTATTTCATCATCAATATAATAGACCCGAATGTAAACTATTTTTATTATTATTATTATTATTAAATATAAATATATATAGTATAAATTATATATACACATATATATATATATATATATTTTATTTTATGAAAATAAATTTTGGTATTTTTTAAATATTTAGTATAAAATTTGATTTACAATCAGTGGAAAAAATATATATCGTATTTATTTATTACCGTAAGTTATAGATAATATTTTTGGTTTTTAATAATTAATGATGCACTATAAATTTGTGTGTGTGTGTGTGTGTGTGTGTGTGTGTGTATGTATGTGTGTGTGTGTGTATGTATGTGTGTGTGTGTGTGTGTGTATGTATGTGTGTGTGTGTGTGTGTATGTATGTGTGTGTGTATGTATGTGTGTGTGTGTATGTATGTGTGTGTGTGTGTGTCAGTGTATGTATGTGTGTGTGTATGTGTGCGTATGTGTGTGTGTGTATGTATGTGTGTGTAAGTGTATGTATGTGTGTGTGTGTGTGTGTGTGTGTGTGTGTGTGTGTGTGTGTGTGTGTGTGTGTACACTAACAGCAATACCGGTTCCTATAAATCTACAGTACAGTGCGTATACATATTATATAATTTTATATGACATTATTTGACTAAATTATTAATTTATATGACAGTACTGTATGTTTGCCGCCACTAATGGGGTCTTTATTAGGTTATCTAATATATCTGTGAGTCAAATATTATGTAATTGAAGTGATTTTTTTGTCTATTACTATATCCTATAGATATATATAATTTTATATATGATATAATATTTCTCATATCATTATCGGAAACTCCATTATGACAATTGCATTTATCCTATCTATCTATCCATCTATTTATCTGTATATATCTATTTATCATCTTTTTTTATATATAGAAAGACATATATTTATATCAATAGATTATATTAATATATATATATATATCCTATTAAATATTCTGTTTGTTTTTTTCGTACTCCACTACTATTATATATAGATTTTTCAATATATAGAAAAATTTATGATTTATTATTATTATTATATAAACTTTTTTTTAGTATTATATCATATTAAAATTTTTCTTTGACATAGTTAAATTATTATTATTATTATATTATATAATATTATAAATTTATAAATTATTAATAATTTTAACATTACACTAACTTTAACAGTTTTTTTAGATAACAATTTATTATATGAAGGAATATTTTATTATTTTTGTGTATAAAATAACATCAATGTTAGGATACAAGTACTGTATAGCATAATATTTTTATTGTGGGTCCAATATAACTGTAATCAAAAATATTACGATATACTAGGAATAACAGTACATATACAGTATATATTCAATATATAATATATAGATTGTTTTAGTTAACAAAAATTCCCTATTTTTCCTGCTCCCTAGCAGGGAATTCCTAGGGAATCAATTTCCCTGTGCTTAACCACATATTAAAATCTAAACAACAAATTTTGATTATAATATTTGAATAACAAATGTATTTTTAGTATATAAACTAAATATATTGTTTAAATAGTATTATTAAATTTATTGTGTGTTAAAATTGATTTTTTTAAAATAAATATTTCAATGAAATTTTATGGAAAATATTTATTATTATTTTTTTTTTGGTAATATTTATATATAAAGATATTAAATATATTTTCATTTCCTAACTATAAAGAGAGGAGATAAAAAATTTTAATTTAATTTTAATTTTTTATTTTCCCTATTTTCCTAGAAAATTGGAGTGTTTTTATTGGGGGGGGGGGGGATATTCCCTACATTGGAAAGTTGCCCGAACTCTAATTATATATAACTTATTTATTATAGTTAATATCGATATAAAATTTTTTATGTTACTTATTAATAATTTTATACCGTATATATACTATATATTATTATTATTATTATTATTATTATTATTATAGATATATATTAAATAAATACAAGTACTATAAATTGTATATCATATATGATTTTGTTTCCCCGTTTATTATTGCATCAAAAATTTATTTTTTTTGGCAAATCCAGTGATGTATTGAATGCACTATCAGTTTGACTGGAATTCCCAAATAGACTACATATTTGATGCCTTCCGGCCCTCAATTCAACTTTCCTTTAACTCTATGTCCATCTGTTTTTCTTTTTATCTATCTATCCATCTAACTGTTTATCAATTATATAATAATAATAATATTACTATTATTAATCATCATCATCAATTCATACTACTAACTCTAAGTAAGGTTATTTATTAAACAAACAGATAGTAAATTATATAAATTAAGATTAATTAAAATTTTTTGTAAACAAAATATTATTTAATAAACAAACAAAAATATTTAAAATTTATTATTATTATTATTACTGTAGAGTATATATTAATTTATTAATACATTACTACTGGTACTAAAAGATTTTGAAAAATTATTTTAAATCAATACATATTTATATATTTTGTAAAAAAATAAATAATAAAACTTAATCACATTTTAACTTATTAAATTTCAAATTTTTAAAAATTTATTTATCTATAAAATTTATTTTGTTTACGTTTTTTAGTATTGATTGTTATATAAAACTTTGTTTTTCGTTTCTAGAAATCATATGTTGTTGTTGTCGTAAATCTTGTTATAATATTTCAATAGTAATACAAATAAAAAAAATATAATACAGTAATAGAGAGAGAGAGAGAGAGAGAGAGAGAGAGAGAGAGAGAGAGAGAGAGAGAGAGAGAGAGAGAGAGAGAGAGAGAGTGAGAGAGAGAGAGAGAGTGAGAGAGAGATAACATTCAAACATCATAATCTTATAACTTATAACTTTTAACATATATATTGTAATATTTTAAACTTTTGCATTAGCTTTCAAACATTTTTTTTATAGAAAGTTATAAATTTATTGTACAATATTTGTGTGATTTTTATTATTATTATTATTATTACAGTATTATATTAAATATTGTGTTTTGTTGTTGTTTTTCGTACGTTATATAAAATATTGTGTGCATATTATATGATAATATATTTTTCGATAATTTTTTAAAAATTATTTATTATTGATTTTTTGTTTGTTTGTTATTTAATTTGTTTTTGAAATATAATTTTATACACAATTCACTATTTAAAATAATTTTCATTTTGTAAATATTTTACATTTTTAGCTACATATTTAAACATAAATTAAAAATTTATTAACAAACAAAAATAGTTTTATTTGAATTTATATATAATTTCAAGCTCTATGACAACTAAATAACTTTATATATATATATATACTATGTATATATATACCAGAATAATGACAAAATTGATACTATTAATAGTATAAATAATTAAAATAAATAATTATTATTTATTAAATTTTAATTTCAAAATACTTTAGACAAGTTTTTTTTAAAAAAAATAAAAGTTTATTATATAATTAACATCAGTATACTGTATAATATAATTATAGTTTTTTCTTTTTAACTAATTAACAAAATTTCTATCAAATTAACAAAAAATAAATAATAAATAAAATAATTTACAGTCAGTTTAGTAAAAATCTAACAAATTATAGTTTTTTTTCAGAATATTCTCGTCAAAACATTTGGTGTGTGAATAGTCATACCAACAAAAAAAAACATACCGGTGTGCGTGTATATGTGTTTTATAAGTCAACATATTTTTGTTTTTTTTAATCATTGTGTTGATGTTGTTGTTATTAGTGATAATTTGATTGTTAAGAGAGAGAGAGAGAGAGAGAGAGAGAGAGAGAGAGAGAGAGAGAAGTAAATTAAAAACAAAAAAGTTTTTCTCTCAATGATCATTAAATTAATGATTATTTGATTCAAATCAATTGATCACATATTACACGACAACACCAGGCAATTGTATGCTATTAACAAATAGAGAGAGAGAGAGAGAGAGAGGAAGAGGGAGAGGGAGAGAGAGAGATGATATGCTTATTTCTTAGGGAGTAATTTTCATCAACGACAACAACAACAACAACAAAAAATCCAGATATTTATTGATCCCCAACACTAACGACGACAAATGCAGACCCTGTTTCTTGTGACCTACCGTTTCCCCCATACATACTGTGCCACACATATTGTACAGTAATTTTTTTTATATAATACAGTAATAGCTGTGTATATGCTTAGCATCAGTAAAAAAACTCTATTAACTCTTTATTTTTTTTCTTTCACTGATTAATATTGATTTATTTTTTTGTGTACTACAGTGTATGTAAAAGAGGCTATAGTTTGCAATCAATTTGATTGAAATCTCAGTAATAATAATAATAATATTATAGTATAAGTTGACATAAATAAATATTTTAACAC